CAGCGCCGCTCACATGAAGCTCATGATGCTCACAGTTACAGGAGCCAAACTGGAACCAGGTTTTATTTTATGAATACGATTTTTTTGAACTGACAAAACAATTAAATACAAACCCCAGGGTCATGTGTCACAGGTTAATACAAATATTTTAAGACCAAAATGCTGAGTCTCAGAGCAGCAGGTACAGAGAGAGGAGCCACAATACTACACTGTCTGTCATTAGGAGCCAGGGTCTGTAATTACTGGACCCAGTGTTGTCAGATTGGGTTTAGTGATTTCCACCCAATCACATTCGAAAACCCGCCCTCTTCAGCAAAAACCTCCCTACAACGTTTAGTCACAGAAAACATTTCAACTTTGAATAAATGTATGTGATCCACTGTTGGGCTTTTTAAAAACATTTCCAGTACTGAGAAAACATGTTCTGTCAAATCTTTGGTAAAATGTACAATAACGTTTTCATCATGCATAAAAATGAAAATCATGAATGATCAGCTAAAGCCTCGGCTCCTGCAGGAACAGCTGCAAACACAGAGCCTGAGACTCAAACAGCGAAGAATTCAATCAACATAGAGAACGTCCATTCACACACAGGCTGTAGCACCTCCATAAGACTGGACAGGAGTGAAAATCCTACACAGTTCCTCGAGTTATTGTGTTATTGTGTCTCACGTTGATTGGTGTGAAAACAAAAAGAAAACAAAAACTGTCCACACTTGTTGAAAGTCTCCCAAATATGATGTGCCTGCTTAAGGCTCCCCCTCCCTCCCTAACGTAGTCAAAACAAGCCCGATCGGGTGGCACCAACCCAGTCTGGCAACACTTACTGGACCTGTCCACATGAAACAGAAACTGGCATTTTTAACCCCAAAGACGTGAGTTGTCAGTTGAAAGGATTTTAAGACAGAAGATTAATATATTAATACAAACAAATAAACAAACAATGAGAAGAAAAAGCATTTGTGGGTCAGAAGTTTGGAGATTTCTTTCCAAAACAGTGAATCCCTATATCCATGGAGACTGTGCAAGAAGCTAGCTAAGGAGCTAGCTTTGGACATGAGAAGCTCCAGGGTTTTATGCCATATGTGGCAGAAGACCTTCCAGAGGAAACGCTTTGAGGGAATGGATCATTTCATCTACAACCAAAACATCAGAGCGTTGAAAAAGTGAGGCCTTTCCTGTTGTGTTCACCTGGCGCCCCCTGCACACTGCTGTGATGCTCTGGATTCAGAGGAGCGACACTTTTGTCTCTTCCACAGGATCTGCTGACCCTCTCTGACCAGTGCTCCTCTTAAACTCACCTGAGACCTTTGACTGACACACAAAGAACACTGAGACGAGCAGTGGAAATGTTGCAGCAGCATCAACTGCAACAGTTTGCTGCAGCAAAACTTGAATTTCCCTTGAGATAAATAAAGTATCTGTCTGTCTGTCTCCCTCTCTCTCTCTCTCTTTCTCTCTCTCTGATATTCTTTATTGACGTAACTCTCTTTCTTTAACTCTTTTAATCTAGTAAAAGTTGTGCTTTTCTTCCCTCTGTGAGTGAGTCTAAAGTGACAAAAGTTTTATGTGACAATCTGAAATGATGTGAACATCTGTGTTTCTTGCAGCTCCTTCTCTTCTGATTTAGTTTGTTTCATGTTTGTGTCTGTTCTTTGAAAACACCAGACTTGGTTCATTATTTAATGTAATGTTTTGTTCTTCCATTACATTAATTTCAAAATATAAATCTGATATTTTCTCAAAACAGATACTTTTTTTTTTTTTTTTTATTCTTCCTTGAGTCATTTCTTGGCCCACTACTTTGTATTTCTACTTGAGTAACTTATTTTGAAGTAACATTACTCTTACTTGAGTACAGTGTTTGTCTACTTTACCACCTTCTGGCCATTTCTGCTGTTGCAACTGAAGCATGATTGCAGCAGTACAGAAGAGTACATCATTAGCAGCTGATGAACTCTTATCACCTAAAACACACTCTCATGTTTTATTTAATCTTGTCTGTGACTTCAGCTCATCAAAAAAGTCTTCAAACCCCCGTAGCTACAGGCTTTAAACGCCTCATCCCAATGAAAAGAATGCCTCTGTTTACTGTAAACCACATCAGTCAATATTGACATGTCCTCACGGCCGACCTCCCCTGACCCTCTCGTTCACACTGTGAGGAGAACATGTTCTAGATGATTGAATCTGTGTTGAGGAGGATTTCACACACTCTTTTGTTAATGACTCTAGTTTAGTGTTTCGATGAGATTCAATGGAGATAAAAACAGTGATAGGAAACCAGGTCATCCTTTCTCAGTCTGTCAGTCTGAGGGCCAAATATCACTTTACCTTTGCACACCGCCCACTCTGTTTGTGTGCAGATGATTCTCCTTTAGGAGATTGTGTTACTATAGATACACATGTGAGAAGAAAGAACCTCACTGAGATTAGGACATACAGTGCAACTGCTGTACTTGTACATACAGACTGTAGCAGAAGTAGTAGTACTTGTGGTGAATTGTGATAGTAGTAGTAGTAGTAGTAGTCAGTAATAATAAGTATACAAACTACTGATGCTTTGCTGGGACATCACACTGGGGGTGTTCTGCATGTATTTTTATGGTGGAATGTTCAGCAGTTCAGCAATCTGAGCGTTCATTGTCCTGTTTAGGACTTTGGTTTTCAATATTGGTATCAATAGTGATAGTAGTAGAAGTAACGGGATGTTGTACACAGGATCATAGTAACACAAACAAACAGCCATCATAAATAATTTTGCTTTATCTTAAAAATGCACTGTGTAATTTCTCTGCTGGAGGGTCCATCGTCTGCTTGATCCTGCACCCAAAAAGTGACATAGTGCATCTTTAAGTAATGATTAGTTAACCCTAACCCAGCATATATAGAATAGTGCATGATGCTGTGGAGATGATGGGCCCTGACCTTGTTTAGGCTGTAGGCTTCAGAGCATTTGAGTGGTCAGTTTAAGGGCAGCTTGTTTTGGGCTGTTCTCACCACAGACTCTGAACTATGCAGTAATCACGTTTGCCTTTTAGGGAGAAACCAGAGAGATGTTGTGTTTGTGCCATGCCCTGCTCCCTGAGCTGTGCCCAAACTCTGTCTGTCTCTGAATCAGAGCCAGAGCCACACTGGAGAATTCAGTGTCACAATCAACCAAGTCTCATTTAGTCAATTGTAATGATGTCATAAATCACCATGTATAGATCATCTTTTATAATGTATTCCCCCTTAAAACACAATATAGAAATGAAAACTACAGAAGTGACACTCTGCTGCTCTTCTCTTCATAGAGCCATTTCACCATAAACGATCTATGTCCATTTGAACGCCGGTGAATAATAGTTTGGATGATGTTTGTCAGACTAGCTGCTGAAGGCTGAAGCCTCAAATGCAGGACAATTCCTCAATCACGCATGAACCAATCAAAATACAACCCTGGGTAAGACAAATTATGGGTGAAAACCATTCTAATTTGTTTGCGTAATTTATCACATTTTAATTGGGACTTCCCACAAAGCAAAACTGCAATAAAACAAAATTGTGTTTTTCAGAGGAATTTCAATTTTTCAAATGTTTAAATTGATGTTAAAAAGTGTAATATGCTTCTGTTGTGAGTGAAGTATAGTTGTTGTAGCAGTGCACTATGAACTACAAAGTACATTTAAAACTATAAATTATACATAGTTTGAGCTCCACAACAGAAATTGTTGAATAAACCACTTTGCTTTATTTGTCTTTCTGTCAAACAACCCACAACTGTGTTGTAATGTGACAACCAGATGTTGCTGAAGCCCTCAGATAAAGGAATGAGTTTAGTTTTTAACACAAAAAGTGTTATTTTAACTATTTGAAAGATAAATGTGTGTTGGAATTGTGGTTATTTGCCAAACTTGATATGGTTGAAGTTAATTCAACTTCCCCTAGTGTTAATTTGGCTCTTCCCACCCACCACTACAAACTCCCTCGAGAGAAGACCAGTTTGAACCAGTTTTGTGCATAATTTCATCTTAAAATAACACAAATCACTCAAATAAAGTGTAAAAATAAAACACCTCTGTGTGTTGTTTAGTTAAATGAGGATAACCCTACAAAGTATTACTCTCAAAACCTTAAACAGGAACTCTGGTCCAGTGTTACTTAATGAACATTTCCAAAAATGTTAAATTAACTCTAGAACAGATTGAACTCAAATAAACCCTGAGAAAACGTTCAAAATGATTCTGTGAGAGTCACTTTTAACACTCCACTTTTTGTTACCTGGAGTAGTAGTTGTACTGTAGCATAATTTATGGCAGAAGTAGAAGTAGTAACTTCAGTAATACCAGTAGTACATCAGTGGAGTCTTGTAGCTCAATGGGAAAAATAAGTTCTTACGTTACAAAAGCAGGTTTTAGTGTAAGGTGATATGTGAGCATGAGCCACTGTCTCACTTAGAACATAAATCACTTTCTATAGTTCTTCAGTTCATGTAGGTTACAAGTATTCAGAGTACAGAAGTAGTTGTAGTTTATATAGTAGCAATTCTGTAGTACAATAGTTTAGTGTCTTTCATGGTTTGATTTGAATCTGCAGATACTTCTGTTTGATGAACTGTATGAATAGGACTTTTTAGTAGTAATAGTACTGGCAATATTTCCTATGTATTTTGCATAAGCTGTTTGGTGATATTCAAAGTATGTTTGAATCCAGTAGTAGTAGTAGTAGTAAGTGTAGTACTTGCAAGTTGCAGTAGTAGTAGAAGAAGTTTGGGTGAGCACAACTTTAGCCTGTAAAATAAAGGTTAGTTTCAATATTTTTGAATACTTTTGTTCATTCTATTTTAAATCTGACATGATAAGTGGAGTTGGCCTCTCTTGCAGTTCTGTATTGTTTCATGTGTGTTTTGCATATGTTGCCTGGTGATATTAAAAGCAGCCTCGTGTTGCTGTGGGCAGGAGGGAGGGGTCCGTGGGGCTCCTCTGAAGTGGGCTGGTCCTAAACTCTCTATAAGTTCCCTGTTTCCTCCCTTTGGCTCCTCTCTGCTGTGACTGAGCACACTGCCTCTGCTGCCTCTGCTACAGCTTACATTCCATCCTCATTGTGTTTCGCCGCTCATCAAAATGAGTCTGAACTTCAGGTCTAACTCTTTGGCTTTCAGCAGGTCTGCTCCACAGTACAGGGCAGCCAGCATCTACGGAGGGGCCGGGGGCAAGGGGACCCGGGTGTCCTCTGCCTCCTCTCTGCGCTCCGGGGCCCCAATGATCTCTGCAACAACCAGCTACAAAGTGAGCAGCGGAATGGGAGCAGGGCTGGGTGCAGGTAGGACATGACTCTACACTTCCACCTATAGTTGTGTATATGCATCAGTGTGGGCAGGACATTGTGAAAACTGTTTTTATTTAGTTAATGATGAACTATGTAACTTTTCTGGTCCACCACATGGAGCTGTTATTGCTGAGAATGTTCCACAGTATGACACTAAACAGTTTCCATGGAGACAGTTTTGATAATTGTGATATGAAGAGGCCAGGTTACAGGTCAGATCTGTACAGAGGTCACCCCACTCACCATAATTATGCATGTTTTTCCAAGATTTTCTTGAGAATAAAAGCAAAATATAAAAAATATCTGTTTAATGCCATACTTTGGAACATTCTATATAGAACAATAACCAACATATCTATTGAGACCAGCAGGCAGCAGACCCCTCACAGAAAAGTTACATAGTACACCTTAATGTTCTCTGCAGATAACAAACTTCTCCTTGGTCTTATGTAAAATTGTTCTATCCCTCTAGTTTATTCCTCTTTTTTTATTGTGCATCAAATGAGTGATTTTTTAAAACATTTTTTACTTGATAAAGTTGTAATGTCATGTAATGATGTATGTGACAGTTTGTATGGAAGTGAAAAGAGGAGCGATAGTAGGACAGGAAGTATTTTCTTTGTGTACTCTTCAATAGTTTTATACTTTGTGTTGTTCCTCTAGGTCTGGGTGGGGGTATGGGGGCCGGGGGGGTGGCTGTGTCCGGAAGTGGAAGCTCCATCCTGGGGAACGAGAAGGGAGCCATGCAGAACCTGAACGACCGTTTGGCCAACTACCTGGAGACCGTGAGGAACCTGGAACGGGCTAATAAGGAACTGGAGGTGCAGATCCGACAGGCGCTGGAGAAGGGCGGACCTGACCTGAGGGACTACAGCAAGTACGAGCCAATCATAGAAGACCTGCGTCGACAGGTGAGTGAGGGGGAGGGGCTTAACGTGGGACTGAACACTTAGACTCCGCCCACAAACACCTTTCAAACAGAGCTGCTAAACTGGACAGTGCCTGAGGACAAAAGGGGGAGAGTTAGGGAGGAAGAAGAGGGGCGGAGTCTGGAGGACTAAAGGGGAGAGTGAGGGGGAGGAGGGGTGGGGTCTGGAGGGACTAAAGGGAGAGTGAGGGGGAGGAGGGGTGGGGTCTGGAGGACTAAAGGGAGAGTGAGGGGAGGAGGGCGGGGTCTGGCGGACTAAAGGGGAGAGTGAGGGGAGGAGGGGCGGGGTCTGGAGGACTAAAGGGGAGAGTGTGGGGGAGGGTCTGGAGGTATAAAGATCTCTGTGATTGGACTAACAGGTATCCACACTTCAAACTCCGCCCCTGCGACCAAGTGTCTGTATCAGAAACATGTGTCTGTGATCAGGACAGTGCTGAGTGATGTCACCAGCTACTTCAAATTGCAGTGGCCACTGAAGGCAGCACTTAGCACTTAGATTTAGCTTTCCTCTAAAATAGCCAGAAATGACTAGGCACAGTAGACAGTGTTTTTAAACAGCACAGAGTTTAGAAGCAAAAGATGGATTTAATGTTTAGTTATCTTTCAAATCCTGTTCTAGACAGAATACTGCTGTTGTTGAGCAAGACGCTTCACCCACCTTGCCTGTGTGAGTGCTTGGTGGTGCAATTCCAGTTTGATCTATTATTACTAGTATTACAGGGCAGACAGAGATTACCTTGAGTATCTGTGGCCTTTTTCTACACACTGATTACACACATGTGATTGAGTCTTGCACCATCTCTTGTGCCATTTTGAGTCATCTGATTTGATTGGTTGGATTTGTGAATCATGATCATTTCTTCAATCACATGACAGATTTCCCTTATCACATGTCTCAAAATAAAGACATATTCAGCCTTAAAAGAACCCTGGCTTTGTTTTTGAGGGTTAGTTAGTGAGAATAGTTCTGTTGATAACTTTACAAGATTGTTACAAGAAGTTGTTATGTAATGCAAAAATAAATAAATAAATAAATAGAACACAGCCACACTCCTGGTTAAATCAAGTGAAATCTGTGTCTGAAGCTGATTTTGCATTCTTTAGTTGGGATGCTCTGAGGGATAAGACAGCCTCACCAAAAGTATGACTTCTGTGGAGAATTCCCTGTCTGAAAAGGCTGTTGTAAAGCTGTGCCTGAGCTCCAAAAACTCGTGCATGTGAATGCTGGTGATGTGCCAAAGGGTGTGTGAGAGCTAGGCAATATATTTAAATGCCTGCTTCCCCATTTCTCTGTATTACAATCTGGTACACCAGCTTTAAGCAAATCTAAACTAACCAAAATGATCCAAAACTTCTAATGAACTCTTGTAGTTCATTGAATGGATATTCAGAATCAGAATCAGTTTATTGCTGTTGTCAGTGAACAACAAGCTTTGGCCTTATGGGGCAACATAAAACAAAGAATGATGACAGTAAATATAAGCTATAATTAAAAAACAAAACATGCAGTCAAATACAACACACTTTTACAGTGTGACAAAACCTTAAACAATATGTCCCTGATGATAGTTGGTTGAAAATGCCTGGTTTTGTGTCTCAGATTTCTGTAGGAGAATGAAGGGTGTGGCTCAAACTATAAAGAGCCATGTGTGCCACAGTCAGCACTTCCTCTGAATCACCCGCTGCAGAAAACCACCACAAAGACCAGCTCCAGCAGCACAGAACTCCCAAAGCCTGTCCTTCAGCGTGACTAGACTCACTTCAACAAATAACATAAAAAAAAAACTGATGCTGAAATCGACTGTGCACAGTGCAATGCAAAAACTCAAATCTAACCATGTTAAGATAACTTCAATCAAAAAAGTTTAATTCAAATTTGAGTAGATTTCACTTAACAAGCAAAATTATCTGCCAATAGAACAAGACTTTTCATACTTAAAATATGAAAATACATTGTAAGACATAAGAAAAAAACAACAACAACTCTTTGCACTTAAAATAAGAAACAAAATCTGATGTTGCTTGAATGAAGAAAAACACTCTGGTAGATCATTTTACTTGTCCAGTTGAATCTACTCAAATAAAGTAAAATGTTCTTAGTTTAAGTCATTTTTAACTTACTAATGTTGCTTTTTGCAGTGTGTGGTATCAGCGCAGTGTAATAGTAGATTGTAAGAGTAGTGCATTAGTGCAAGTACTCACAGTTAGTAGCACAAATTGTCATGGTCAGTCGTGATGGTAGTAAAAGTAATCTAGTAGCTGTGTCTGTATTAGTTGAATAAATTAAATAAATAAATAAAATTAGTTGTAGCAGTAGAAGTATCAACTGTAGTAATAAAGTACATGATTTCTGGGGTTGTACTCGACTAAAGAAAGTCTTGGTTGACTAAAGACATGATCTGTGCACTGATTAGCTGACTAAAATGGGGCTGTGTGACATTGGAAAAGCTCATAAAACCATTAAGCTTAAAGGAATGAATGGAAAATAAATACTGCTAGTCTGCGCATTTCATTGTAAAACAGAAAAATAAAATCATGATTTGCTCTCAAACCTGGAGCTAACTCATTCCATGCCTGATGCAGTCCTGCAAATCTTGAAAACAATTGGTTCTCTTTAAATTTGTGGCAAATATTCAATATACTTTGCTTTGTTTAAAAAGTGGGTTACTTCTACTTCTACTAGCCTATTCCAAACAATATTATTTTGTAGACTAGATGTACTTTTACTTGTTGAAAGCGTATCATTGGTTAGTGTCCCATGACTGTGAAAATGTGAGAGAAAGGAAGAATGGCCCCAATGGGAAACAGATGTGGGGCTTTTGTGTTCATCTGAGGTTTCCAGATCCTTATAAATACACAGAGAATCAGAACTTTAAACCAATATTATGTAGCTCACAGAAAACAGTGGTCCAGTCGGGCCAAGCTGTAGCTGTAGTGATTTATGATGTGGGGACGGGAATGGGACAGATGTACAATTGCAAAGTGCTTTCTACATTTTTAATTAAGTATTTTTTGTTGAATGGCTGAATGAGTAAACTGAGTATCACACTTTTTTTTTTAGAAAACATCACAACATTCTACTGGCCAACCATGAAACTCAAATGAATCTTGTTCAAATGCAGATTTTTGTTGTAATACACTGAGTTCTTGAGTCTTATCATAAATAGAAATGATCAGGTTCAACATTTGTGAAGTGACCGTTTGGAGATTTCATGACAATTACAATGATAACCATATGGAAATCTGTCTTTTGCTCCCTTCGTCACAATCTCGAAAACCACCAATAGATTTTTATGTCTGTGCCACATCCCCAAAGGACAAACTTAATTTGTTGCAAAGATTCAAACCGGCCACCACCCCGTGACTGGGCTGGCACAAGAATGTTTGAATGTAACTGGACAACACTAAAGAATGTGAGAGAGACAGAGAGAGAGGGAGAGAGGGGGAGACAGGGGGAGAATGGAGCCAATGTGAAACAGATGTGAATGACACACAACTACACAGCACAAAAGAGACTACACACATACACACACACACACGCAGAGAGAGAGAGAGAGAGGCTTCAATTCTACCCCTCCTCCTCCTCTGTCCCTCCTGTTTCTCTGCCTCTCCATCACCCTCTTCTCCTGTACTCATCTTCTTTTTCCTCAGCTCTCCTCTGCCCCTTTGTCCTCCCCTATCCATCCTCCTCTGCTCCTCGTCTGCCCTTCCTCTTCTCCTCTGCCCCCTCTTCTGTTCATCCTCCAATCCCCTTCTTCCCTTGTTCCACCTCTGAAACCTCTTCTACTCCTCTACCCCTCCTGTTTCTCCTCTGCCCTTCTTCTTCTCCTCTGCCCTTCTTCTGCTCCTCCTCTTTTCCTCCTCTTCTGTTCCTCCTCTGGCCCTCCTCTTCTCCTCCACAGCACAAAAGAGACTGCACACACACACACACACACACACACACACACACACACACACACACGGATGCCATGTCCCAGTTTGAGGCATTTACAGATTTTTCGTCAATCACACCAGCCCATAAACCTGACTATATTTGCAAAAAGAGTTGATTACGTTTACTTTAAAATATCAAAAAATACATTGAATTTGTGTGTAAGTGTCATTTGTAAGCGGTGTTTCCATCTGTCTGACTCAGCCTGGGGCAGGACGGGGGCTACAGTGAGGGGGCTAACAAAGATTTTCTGTCCCAGAGTCAAAAGTCAAATTCTTTAGAGCAGAGCACGCAGCAGAGTTGAGTGTGGTGACAGCAGGGGGTGGTGGTATGAGGAGATAGAGGAGCAGGCTGTGCATTAAGTGCCAGCAAGTAATCCGGCATTTAACTCCAGCAGATATCAGTAAAGGCTCTGAAAGATCTAGAGTGGAGTTAAAATGCTGGTTTTCCTAATGGAGGGTTATGAATTGGGCAAACCAAAAAGTGTCTCATGCCATCAACCGCAGTATCAGAGGTAGACTTTGGAGTTGTATTAGTAGGAGCATTAACAGAAATTGTACTGACTTTCAATCCTGTGTTATAGGCGAGTTTCATTCTTGACAAAAGTGTGCGTTGCATGCTGGGAATTATTTTGGTCGGCAATGGTTGGTTGATTTGTTGGCAATAAACACTAATTCAACTTGAAGGACGGAGCGAGAAAGCACGTAAAGGGTACTGATCCCGGTTATTTATCATCTCTAACGGCAGAGGACCCAAGACGATTTGGTCATAAGCATCGATGGACGTCAAATCACCCTTTTCAACCTCTACAAAAGGTGGACGAAACCAAATTTCTGGTCAGAATTGCCAACTACCTGGCCAAATATTCACTTCGGCGATATCCACAATGACTTGGTGGAAACTTCTGGGCCATTCACAGCAGAAAAGATGAAAGTCTACAAGAGTCTCGATGTGTTGTTGAACTTGTTGGAGTCCACGGTTTGCTCGGATCTTCTACGTTTGCTCTGCGAATGTTTGAAAGCCGTTTAATTCACCGTTAGCGGTTCTTTTCACTCAGAATACGAAAAAGACATTTTCCTTCTTCCGTGCTTCTATTTGTGCATCTGATAATGCAGCAGGAATTTACCATTATCGGGGATAAATACGCGAGGTTACGCATTGTGTTTGACCGCTATTGTGTTTCTCGCCTCCGACCAAAATGTTTCCCAGCATGCAACGCGGGCTTTCAATGACTTTCAAACATTCGCAGAGCAAACGTATAAGATCCTAGCAAACCGTGGACTCCAACAAGTTCAACAACGCATCGAGACTCTTGGAGGTTTTCATCTTTTCTGCTGTGAATGGCCCAGGAGTTTCCACCAAGTCATTGTGGATATCGCCGAAGTGAATATTTAGCCAAGTATTTGGTGATTCTGACCAGAAATTTGGTTTGTTCCAGGCTTTGTCGGGGTTGAAAAGGGTGATTTGGTCTCCATCGATGCTTATGACCAATTTCTGGTCAAATGGTCTTGGGTCCTCTGTCGTTAGAGTGGATAAATAACCGGGATCAATACCCTTTACGTGCTTTCTCGCTCCGTCCATTATGTTGAATTAGTGTTTATTGCCGCCGACCAAAATAGCCCAGCATGCAACGCGCGCTTTTGTCAACAATGAAACTCGCCTATTTCAAATCCTGTATTTTAAATTACACAATATAACGGCTTTTTTTTTTGTATGAGTGTCTTAGCAGAGGTTGCAACAGCTTGAACTTTGCAAAAAGAAAACACGTACAGTGGTTTGGTGAGGGTCAGAGCCGTCACATGGTCAGCACACACTGATTTATGGCTCAGCTGCACAAGAGGAAAGTGTCCAAGAGGAAACACATTTTCCTGGTTTAAACTGAAGCAGGTTTTTGGCCCCCGGACCCTCCACACTCTTCTCTGTCCCTCTGAGCCAGTCATTTAGTTGGCTCTGCTCCTCTTCTACTCCTCTGACCCTCCTCTGTTCCTCTTCTGCTCCTCTGCTCCTCGTTTCTGTCAGTGAAAGTGTGTGGGTTTGGATTTGGATCTGAAATCGGACTCTTGTCTGTGGAGTTACATAAGTTGGGTCTTGATTCAGATCATGCGCTGCTGTTTATTCCACATCTGTTTAATATTCTGCAAAGTGAATAGGGAAAACCTGACTCAGATGTGATTGTGCTGTGTATGAATGAGGCGGAAAGCACAGTTTTAAATGCAAGATTCAAATATGTTTTCATTGTATTCAGGGTTTTACAGCTGCTTAATGCTCAATGGTATTTATATATTTGTGTTTTGTTGTTTCAGATTTTTGACAGAATCACAGACAACGCCCGGTTAGTCCTGCAGATCGATAACGCTCGTCTGGCCGCAGATGACTTCAAAGTAAAGTGAGTACTGATTGTTGATTCATAAAATGCACATATGTTAAAAAAATTTACTTCATGACTTCCCACTTAAAGTTTGTGATCTACAAAAAGACAGTTTGATGTGGAGAAGTCTAGTCCAAAATGTCAGACTTTGTCAACCTGGGTTTTCAGAGATGAGGCAGAAGATGATCTGTGCTCAGAGAGATGAAAAGTGAGCGAGTAGTGTGTTTTGTCCATGAGTTCACTTTGAGTATGAATTCTATGCCAAATCTGACAAATGAGATCCCTGACCTGAAACCTGAAACTGCCTTGTGGTGTCACCTGCTTGTTTTCATGGAGACAGGGTTAATGCTACACTAATGAAAAACCTGTGGGAGAACCTCTACAGGAAAAGTTCCGCAGAGCACCGTTAATAGTGTGTCAGAGCTTTGAGTACTGGATGGTGTGTGTGGTTCTAATTGCTCTTCCCCTGCACAGGTTTGATAACGAGACCACGATCCGTCAGTCGGTGGAGGCGGACATCGCCGGACTGAAGAAACTCATCGATGAGACCAACATGAGCCGAATGAACATCGAGAGCGAGATCGAGGCTGTGAAGGAGGAGCTCCACTTCCTCAAGAAGAACCACGAGAATGTGAGTTAATTAGAGATGGGAATCATTCAGAAGTTATCCATACGATACATAGGCCTTTGATTCAATACAATTCAATACTGATTTATTTCAAATCAATTTGATACGATTCAATAAAGGCTAAATCATGGCTGTGACACTAAAAGTTTTTGTTAAATCACTTTTTGTGCAAAGTTCATATGAAACACAAACATTTTAATCCTCAAAACAGTGAAAATGTCAAATGTGTCACATAAACGAGTTTCCTTCCTCTGAACAAACAACAAAACTGTAGCTGCAACTAAATAATATGGCAAAATATGCCACAAAATATTTTTGGAGATATATCGATACAGCAGCCCACGATATCAATACTGTATCATCGCAATAAATTATACGATATATTGATATTTTGATATTTTTGCACACCCCTAGAGTTAATACTGTGTTGTACTGGAAATGTACCCAAACTAAACCTGTGCTTTTATCACTGAGTTTAAACTGAGTCTAACATGAACTCAAACACTGATAATACAGAGGTGCTCCTTCAAAGTTTTAAAGAAAACTCATAATGCAGAATTGAATTTTTTGAGCTTTTAACCATGCTTTTAACTTACCATAAAAACATACCTGGAGCTGTATTTCATCTCATTCCCAGTTTGGTTTGAGTAATCCTCTGTCAGAAGTAACTCATCTAACCCAATAAGTGATCAGCAGGCTTGTTTGAAGCATCTCTGCAGTCAGATCATCTTCATTTCTAATGTGTGCTTACAAAAACACATCATGCTCTTTATTACCTAACTTATTTTTTCCCTTTTTTTAATTAATTAATTTTGAGTTCTCAATCATTGAAATGCCAGAGCAAATGTACTCAAGACCATGTTTAAAGGGCTATGATAATGCCTAATATTTGTTCTTTAAAGTTTATGCACATTCCTCAGACTTGACTTCATTTTTCAGATAAGCAACTTCAAAGTTAGCAGCTCATATTTGGTTTACCAGATTCAAGCTGCTTATTCCTTTAGTGCCCCTAGGTCTTCCAGTACAAACCTCAGATTAAACATAAATCGCTGTTTTCTATCTTTTATTTTCGGTTTTACAACACAAGACCAGATGTCTTACTTTTGACGTCTTCTGTCTGCAGGAGGTGATGGAGCTGCGTAACCAGATCTCTCAGTCTGGAGTCCAGGTGGACGTGGACGCTCCCAAAGGTCAGGACCTGTCCCAGATCATGGAGGAAGTGAGGGCCAACTACGAGAAGATGGCCCAGAAGAACGCAGACGACCTCAAACGCTGGCACGAAAACCAGGTCTGTGGTGGTTATTGTTGTCAAAGTAACAGTCGTAGTATTTGAAGATGGAGGGGAAGTAGATGTAACTGTGGAGTTAGGAATAGCTGGAGTTCTTGTTTTGAAGGTAGGAGGAAGTAGTAGCACTGGCCTATAGAGTTAAGACTGGAAACATTGTTGTATATATATACACACACACACACACACACATATATATATATATATATACGTATACGTATACGTATATATATATATACGTATATATACGTATATATATATATGTATGTATATATATATGTATGTGTGTGTGTGTGTGTGTGTGTGTGTGTATATATATATATATATATATATATATATATATATATATATATATATATATATATATATATTATATATATATTATATATAATTATCATCATTCAATACATACAATATTGTATGAGTATCAAGATTCCTTAGTACTGAAATTTTGGGTTTGAAAGATTAGTGTTGTAACTGTACTGAAGCTCAATTTATTCTCCCCCTGAAAGTTCAAACGAAAGCTTGATTTTTCACATCATTTTCAACAAGGACCTGTCATTTTACCTTCAACACATTTTCAACTTCATTTTAATAACATCAACATTTTTGATGCTTTCTTTGCTGTTGTGCTGTGTTTACATCACAGAGGTGCAGCTGTGTCTGATGTTGTGTTGTTGTTGTGCTGTGTTGTACAGATCGCAGAGGTGCAGGTGTGTCTGATGTTGTGTTGTTGTTGTGTTGTTGTGTTGTACAGATCGCAGAGGTGCAGGTGTGTCTGATGTTGTGTTGTTGTTGTGCTGTGTTGTACAGATCGCAGAGGTGCAGGTGTGTCTGATGTTGTTGTTGTTGTTGTTGTGTTGTACAGATCGCAGAGGTGCAGGTGTGTCTGATGTTGTTGTGTTGTTGTGTTGTGTTGTACAGATCACAGAGGTGCAGGTGCAGGTGTCTCAGAACACAGAGGCTCTTCAGGGCGCACAGATGGAGAAGAGTGACCTGGGCCGACAGATCCAGACGCTCGAGATAGAACTGGCATCACAACAGAACCTGGTAAGAACCTTGACCTGTTTAAATACGAGCACGCTTCTGTTTAAAGACGATACAAGAGCTTAAGAAAAGTCATATTTTACTGTCTTCAAAATGTGAAAAACATGACCTGTTCATTTGAAACTCTTTGCAGAAGTCCAAAGTTATTCCTCACTGTTCCAACTCATTTCTAGCAGCCTAATAAAACTAATCACCATAATGCTAAAAACAACTGTCCGTTTTTCACGTCCTGTCCTGGGCGTCCGTGTTTTTTCACATACCGTGATGGAAATGTCCAGGTTTTCATTACCTTTCATTGGGGCCATTAAATTGAGTGTCTCTCGTAGCTCTGTGACTCAGAAGGAGCGAGCAGACACAGTCGGTCAGTCTGCAACATGCCGAAGGGCAAATGTGCATTTAACAATAACTTGTACAAGAAATTCTCCGTTTTCCGTCCCGGGCAGGACAAGTGGGAGGTCATGTGCACAGGTTGTGAGGTGAGACTAGCTCAATGTCGAGACCCCACCCTCACCCCTGGTAAGATGTCCGGGTTTTCACAAATGGAAATATGATCACCCTAAACTAGCATGCTTACAGCGCATCAGTATTACTTCCTGGTTTGCAAAATTATAAAAATGCTTTATAATGAAGCACACCAAAACAATGGATGTTAGCTAGCTTGTAGCTGGTTAGCTTCCTTTGAACTCTTCACATTAGAATTTTTTGAAAAGTCTATGGGAAAAATTAATGTAAAATGAATTAACCTTCAGAACCAAAGCTTGAGCTCCATTAGATGCAGACAGCACACAGCGCTCTCACTCTGAACTGAAGATAGAAGCATCTATTCAACTGATTACAGCCCATTTCAACCTGAACTATGTCCTATAGCTAAGTGTTTGTGGTCTGCAGAAAGCGTCTCTGGAGGACACGCTGAGGAATGTGGAGATGAGGAACAATATAGAGATGGAGAAGTACAACGCCATCCTACTGCGTCTGGAGGATGAGCTCACACAGCTCAGAGCAAACATCCAACAGCAGAGTCAGGAGTACCAGGCCCTGCTCAACATCAAGGTCAAACTGGAGGCAGAGATCGCCACCTACAAGAACCTGCTCGACGGAGGCGACTTCAAGTGAGTACTCATACTACAAATACTACTACTACCTCTACTACTACTATATTTAAAACCTGCTCGACGAAGGCAACTTCAAGTGAGTACTAACACTACAAATACTACTACGATTACTAGCTGTACTACTACTATATACAAGAACCTGCTTCATGGAGGCTACTTCAAATGAGTTTTAATAGTACTATTACTACTACTACCACTTCTACTGTAAATACTATTGTTAGTACTATATACATGAACCTGCTGGATGTAGAGGACTTGAAATGTCTACAGACACATGCACTTTGCAACCAATGCTTCTGCTCCCACTGCTGTGTACACAAACTTGAATATCCTGTATAGTACATATATAACCTCTACTAATGGACAGTAAGAGTACTGTAACTTCAGAGTCACAACACCACACACCAAGCATTACTACTAAAGAGGAGAAAACAGCGGGGACGTGGCATCTGATTTCTGTTGTAGGTTTTGGTACTAAACAATTTTGGAGCATACCTGCTGTCACGGGTAAATCCATATGAACCTAAAAATATGTTGTTGTTTTGTGCAGACTCCAGGACGCTCTTGAGGAACTGGCCTCTTCCAGCTGAAACAGAGAAAACTGAAGCTACCACAAGAATGAAACAAAACTCAAGTTCAGACCAAAACACTGTCGCAAATAAAGATCATGTGTTCATCTCGGTGTGCTGTGTCGTCTGACGTTTTAATGTGAGAACAGGTCTTAGGTTTGATTCCTGGGCCAGGTAGAATTTCACTGAGGAGAGGAGTTTGCATGTTCTCTGGGTTCATTCTTGTGCTCTGGTTTAGAAATGCATATTAGCCTAGATACTCCAGCTTTACTCTCCTTATCAAACACTACAAAAATCAGTATGATGTAAAATGACTTCAGGACATTTATCCTGACTGCAGTAGTTTTGATTAAAATGTATTTACTTGAATTAGCTAGATCATTACTTTGGTCTCAAGAGATTTGTGACTGTTTAATTATATTATATATTATCACATTATATTATACAATACTTATCCCATTGGCAGAGCTGGGAAGAATAAATATATTTAGTCACAGAACACAGAATATCTGCCTTAAAAACTTTGTAACATTACGCAGTTCCATGGTCCAGTCAGTACTGTATTGAGATTACTAAGAATACTTTTACATCAAGTTACATTTAAACGATAGTGTAAACATTAAAAACTCACAGCTGCACTCTCCCAAAGAGTGCTATTTTCTATGTTTCCACTAAGAAGGTGCAGTTTGAAGCAAATATTTTGTGAACAGATACTATGTATGTATATGTATTCCACTAATATGAGAAAAGTATGTATTTTGAATACCACCAAATGAAAAGTAACTGTACAAGAATACAGTTACAGTTACTCTGAACATGTGTTTTCAGTAGATGTATTCCGTTACTTCCCAGTAACAGGTTTGCTTTGTTATTTGAGTCTGTATGATCTTGAAATCAGTCAAAACTGTCATAAAACCTGTTGCGTAGATTACATCATAAAGGCAATGAAACCTAATGCATTTGAAAGTTAAAACTACTCAAATCCAGATGATTATTCTGAAGTGAAGGCATTGCAAACTTGGCTAGATATTCCACTTAAGCATCGGAGCTTTGAATCTGGAGAAGTGATTCCATCCAGTGCTAGTGTCATGTGCGTCACGTGATTTGACATTAAGGCGATAAGGCTAAAATAAGAAACATCACCCTCTAGTGGAACTTGTATGTAATGTGCCATAATGAATGAAGTTACCAGTCACTATTACTGTAACCACATTATACTCTAGGTGTATTATGCTTCTACTTTTATGACTAAAGCTAACTAACTACATCATCACTTCTGCCATTACGTAAAGTGAATTCTATGACTGTTAGTTCATGATCATAATATAAGGGCCAAAATAAGTGTGATGGGCAGCAATGGAACACAACCAGGTACACTCACAGCTACTTCCTGTACTTTTGTTCTTTTCTCCTTAGCATTTTTCCACAAACTGCCACTTCACTGATGTCAAACAATGATAAATATTCACCACATACACTATCCTACCAAAGGTCAATTAGAAAAAAAAAACACGAAAACTTCTTGTATGTATGTTAAAGATACAGTACGTAACTTTCTGGAGGTGACACGTCACCTGCATGATTCCATGGAAATACACTGCTCAAAATAAATAAATAAATAAATAAATAAAGGAACACCTTGAAAACACATCACATCTCAATGTGAAAACAATATCATATATCGGATGTCTACACAAACCTGGACAGGACAATGTCTTAGGAACAAAAGGATGCTCCTCTTTTAATGGAAATGCACAACAGATGCACTAGAACCACAACAATGAGACAACCCCTAAAAGAGGACTGGGTTTGCATGTGGAGGTCTTTTCAAGTTTCCCCTCTTGGTGTTATTGGATTGTTTTCCTCTAGTGCTGCTTTGACTAAAGTTATTATCTCTACTGGGAGGATGAGGCTGTTCCTTAATCCTACAGAAGGATGATACATCCGGAGATGCCGTTGCAAAAGAGATTTGGAGGAGGTTTCAGGAGACAGGCAGTTACTCTAGGAGAGCTGGACAGGGCCATAGTAAGTTCTCAAATCAGCGGGACAGATACCTTCTCCTTTGTGCAGGAGGAACAGGCCGAGCACTGCCCTGCTCTACAGAATGACCTCCAACAGGACACTGGTGTGACTGTCTGCCCAAACAATCACAAACACACTTCATGAGGGTGGCTTTAGGGCGCCATGTCCTGTAGTGGGCCCCGTGCTAACCCCTCAGCACCGTGGAGCTCCATTGGCATTTGCTAGATGACACCAGAATTGGCAAGTCCTCCACTGGTGCCCTGTGCTTTTCACAGATGAGAGCAGGTTCACCCTGAGCAAGAGTCTGGAGAAGACAAAGAACAAGCCTGCAACATGGTTCAGCATGAGTGGTTTGGTGAGTCAGTGATGTTCTGGGGAGGCAGATCCATGGAGGAACACACAGACCTCTATAGGCTAGAAAACAGCAGTCTGACTGCCATTAGACATTGCCCTGGCCATATTTGTATAGATATCCAGCATTTTTTATTTATTTATTTTTTCACATTGAGATCTGTCAAAGTGTTTCTGTAATTCAAACAATACTTCAGCACATTCTTCACAGATTTGTGCTGTGGGTGGTTATAAGCAAAGGTGATTAAAACTATTTCCAGGGAGTCTTTGAGGTTTGTCACCAAAACGACACATGTTCTGTGCACTTCAAAAACTGGGAAAAAATGTTTTCATTTTGGATAGAAAGGTTACATACTGTGGCTTTAAGCTCATAGATAATAACTGCTTTAACACCATATGATTTTTTTTTTTTTAATGAGTCATACACATTAGTGTTGTCACAAAACTAAAATCAAATTTTGATTTTGATACTAAGAAATAGACTCAATATTTAATCTCATCACCTACTATTTAAATCTCTGTGGATTGTCAAAAGTATCAAAAATCAGATAATGATACTAATATTTGATGATACTAATGATTTTATTTCTTCTTTTAATCTTGACTTTATGTTTTTACTGAAACATGGCATGACAAAAACACAGGTCATGCAGTGCTAGTGGAATCAACTTCAAATTTGAATCTGAAACACGAGCAAATAAAAAGGGTGGAGGAGTGTGTGCATTTTTTAGAGATCATTTGGTTACACACAGGTTGTCATTTGGGGTGTTTTCATCATTTGAGTATGTTTCCTTCAAAATGGAGCTAAAACAATCACCGTCCATACTCTACATCGTCATATACAAACCTCCTCAGCACTGTCAAAGTTTTATTGATGATTTTACTGAGATGCTTTCAGTTGTTTGCACAGACTTTGATGGTTTAGTCATTACAGGTGATTTTAATGTACATGTGGATAATGTGTGTGACAAAAATGCCAAAGAGCTTAGTGTCGTCCTTGAAACTTTTGGTCTGACTCAGCATGTCAGTGAGCCCACTCACAAGAGAGGGCACACTCTGGACCTGCTCATTACAAAGGGTGTAAATATTTCAAATGTCAATGTGGTTGATGTTGCTCTGTCTGATCATTTCTGTGTCGTCTTTGACCTGTCTGTTATTCCCAAACCACCGGCTGCTCCTACAGTTGTTCGAAGGAGACACATAAATGATAACACAGGTCCACTGTTCATGGAAATGATACATTTTGAAATTGCCTCATGTTCTAATGTTGATGATGTGTTGAACTCTGTGACTTTGAGTGTTTTGAATGTTCTGGATGCCATCGCCCCGATAAAGGTTAAAATAGTTAAAGATAGGCAAAAAGCTCCGTGGAGGAATGATGACTCAGTCAGGGCACAGAAAAGGGAGTGCCGGAAGGCTGAGCGGAATGGCGCAAGTCAAACCTCCAGGTTAATTATGAGATTTACAGAGGAACAATGCATATGTACAACTACACTTTGAGTAAAACAAGAGAGAAGTATTTTTCAGACATTATTGGAAATTGCAGTAACAACTCTTGTGTCCTGTTTGCAACAGTGAACAGATTAACAAACCCTCCAGCTCCACTGCCACTAGAACTAATTTCCACATCTAAATGTAATGAGTTTGCAGTTTTCTTTAATGACAAAGTTCACTGCATCAAAAATGCCATCAATTCCACAACACAAATAACAAGCATGCAGCCACAGAGACACTTAGAGCTGAATCACTTTGCACCTGTAACTGACAAAACTGTTTTAGAGATCGTTACCAGTCTGAGTTCATCTACTTGCTGCCTGGACATGTTACCCACTAGATTTCTAAAGTCCACCCTCAACAGTTTACTTTCACCACTCACTCACATAGTTAACATGTCACTTCAATCTGGAACATTCCCAAATGCGCTGAAAACTGCGGTCATTAAGCCTCTCCTAAAGAAGAGCAGTCTTGATGCCACAGTACTGAACAATTTCCGACCGATCTCAAATCTGCCGTTTTTTGGCAAAGTCCTTGAAAAAGCTGTTTACCAACAGCTTACGAACTTTCTCCAAATGAACAACTCCTTTGATGTTTTCCAGTCAGGTTTTAGAGCCCACCACAGCACTGAGACTGCTCTTATCAAGGTGACAAATGACATCCGCCTGAACACTGATGCAGGCAAAGTCTCAGTCTTGATCCTGTTAGATCTCAGTGCTGCTTTTGACACTGTCGATCATGGGATCCTCTTACAGAGACTAGAGGACTGGGTGGGCATCTCTGGTACTGTACTAAACTGGTTCAAGTCCTGTCTAGAAGACAGGAAGCATTTTGTTGAAATTGGAAACTGCATCTCAGATCACATGGCCCTGACCTGTGGGGTGCCTCAGGAGTCAATCCTGGGCCCCCTGTTGTTCAATCTCTACATGCTGCCATTAGGCCAGTTAATAAGCAGCAATAACGTGTCCTACCACAATTATGCAGATGACACTCAGATCTACGTCTCTCTGGCAGCAGGAGACTATGGACCAGTGGACAGACTTTGTCACTGCATCCAACAGATCAGTGTGTGGATGCAAAACAACTTTCTCCAGCTAAACTCTGACAAGACTGAAGTCATAGGGGACAGTGTCAGCAGTCACCTTCAGTCTCTCTCTCTAAAACCTTCAAATCAGGCAAGAAATCTCGGGGTAATAATGGACTCAGACTTGAACTTTAACAGCCACATCAAATCAATAACATCTGCAGCCTTTTACCATCTAAAAAACAGCAAAAATCAAAGGTTTACTGTCTAAATCAGACTTGGAGAAACTTATCCATGCGTTTGTCTCCAGTAGGTTAGACTACTGTAATGGTCTGCTCACTGGTCTCTCCAAACGAGCTGTGAGACAGCTGCAGAACATCCAGAACGCTGCAGCTCGGGTCCTTACTCGAACTAGGAAGTACGAGCACATAAGTCCTGTGCTCAGGTCTCTGCACTGGCTTCCTGTGCCTCAGAGAATAGACTTTAAAGCAGCTCTGCTTGTGTACAAGTCTCTCCATGGCCGAGCACCAAAGTACATCTGTGACATGTTAGTGTCGTATGAACCATCTCGCACTCTGAGGACCTCAGGGACCGGCCTCCTGCTGGTGCCCAGAGTCAGGACTAAACAAGGGGAGTCAGCGTTTCAGGTTTATGCAGCTAAAACCTGGAACAGTCTTCCTGAACATGTGAGACAGGCCTCTTCTGTGACGCTGTTTAAATCCAGGCTCAAAACATTTCTGTTTAACTGTGCATATAACTGAAAGGTTTTCATTCCGCACTCTTCTCTCCAATTTATGTCTCTCTTTTTTAATTTTAATCTTCATGATTATTTATGTTTTGATTTGTTTTTATTATGATTTTAATGTATTTCTTATTCTGTAAAGCACTTTGAATTACTTTGTGTACGAATTGTGCTATACAAATAAACTTGCCTTGCATAATAGTATTCAAAACTAGATACTAGATACAACACAGAAATAAATAGCTTTAGAATGATTACACAAATACAAGGCCACATACGAACAGAAAAGAACATACAATACATTCATCTTGAAAATCACATAATCACATTCTATTGTATAAGTAAATAGTTTTTTGTTTGTTTGTTTGTTTTTTACTACCATTGTAGTATTACAATCTGTATTAAAACTCCCAAGAATCCCTTGCCTTGTGCACTTTTTATAGCTCATGTGGCATCACTGAGGTTATCAGAAGGAATGGGACTCTTTGACTCTTTGGTATTTTCTAATACTTATCTGTAGGTTTGTTGCGTACATTTGGCTTGAAGTAGTCATTATTTTAGTTTATCTTTGTAAGGAGCAAATAACCTGAAGAGTTTACTCTAAAACAGTGCAGATTAGAGCCGCTTGTATCTGTGAGGCAGGAACTATCAGGCCTTTAGTGATGTAAACACAGTTTTATCTGCAGCTGTGTTTTGTGTCGGCTAAATAAATATTCCGTAAACATGAAACAGGGAGGAGGTGCTCGTGGACGCGCACGGACAGTCAATGCGCGCTCCCGACCCTTACCTCTGACGCCTACATCCGGGAACTACACCGAGCTCGCTCTCCAACATGGCGGCGTCAGGTGAGGTTTATGTGGCTCTCGCTTCTGTGCGTCTCGTAGCTGGATTTGAGCGGGATTTTCGCTATTTGTACACCGTAAATTCACTTTGTAGACTGTTAACGGTTCTGTTCACGCTCTGGTGTCGTTGTCTCGATTTTACGACGCGGTTGAATCGGTTGTTTTGGTCCGCTAAAGACGACTCGACTCGGGGGCGAAAGCGAATGAACGAAGCTACGACTTGCACAACACTTTTAAGCTGCAATTTACCTCTTGTTTACCTCTAATACTCATTTAATGTAGTTATTTATGTGATTTGCTCATGTCCGTGTGATTACTTGCTCCCTCGGGCCAGTATATGTCTTGTTTTAGGTGTTTTGAAGTGCGCAGGGAGCTGGCACATTGCACATCCGTAGCAGTAGCGGCACCAGCTTTCTCCATGAATGCGCTCAGGGCTGAACCGGTGTTATGGCGAGATGTGTGCCCGAGCAGAGTGGCCAGATGTTCCACTTATTTGCGGTGCATTTTAGTTTTATTTGTCTTTTTACCCTCATTATTTCCCATTTTTCATGAATCACCAGCGCGATCCCAAAACAGGCAATATATACTGCTGTTATCGGCGCGGTGAATGAATGACATTACGCGTTCGTTATTTTTGACTGTTGCAATGCGTTTCTGACAATGCTCCTACTTAAATGCTTCACTAAAACGTCCTTAATGTGTAGTACTATATTTTTTATTAAATATTCCCCGAAAGCTGAGTTGTTTGATTACTTAAAAAATGTCGTGTTATTCTCGCATGTGGCTAAATGGTGTAATAGTAGCGGACTTGGCTCGGGCGCAGATTTGAGTAGAACACTGGGGCCGAAGCGCGCAGCCTGGCTCTCCCCACGTGTGCTGTCGCTGCTTCCCGGTGCCCCTTTCACCCTTCCCCCGCAGTCCGAGGATAAGCCGAGTCTGGAGCAGGCTTCTTCGGGGCCGAACTCGAAGCGCTGGACTTCCCGCTGCGGTCCTAAAGCGGTGCCCGGTGATGGCGCACTTGGATCGGCTCTTGGCTGCGCGCACTAGGCCTAAAACCAAACCAGCAAAGCACACACACCGACTCCCCTTCAGCCAGCGGCGCTCTGCTGACTAGCCCTGTGTGAGCAGAGGTGGAGAGGACGGCCAGAAAATAAACAAACACTTTAGAGTATTGTTACTTAATATTTTTATTTAGCAAAATCCTTGTTGAAAAAAATAAAATAAAATCTAATAGAATAAAATTGTAAAATGTAAATTTGATGGGGACAATTCAAGTAAATAGATTTAATGATAGTGTGACATCAGCCAAGGCAAGTAATTCAAAGTGCTGTACAGAAAAAGAAAGCATTAAAATTACAGTACAAACAAACAATAACATAAATAATTATTTTAAAGAGAAGAGTGCAGAATAGAAGATTTAAAAACGGAACTGTTTTGAGCCTGGGTTTGAACATGGTCACAGTAGAAACACGTCTTACTAAAGATATTCAAAGCAGATTATATTTCTCATGTCTTATATATTAAAAGTAGAGATTGACTGATATATTTTCGATATCAATGACCCATAAACTGCTGATATTTTTTGGACAGTATGCAGGGTTTATTTTGAGGGTTTATTTTCTCCAATTTATGTAATTAAAATGTTCTTCAAACTCACCCACAGCCCTTTTACGATAAACCTTGGAGAGCTGTGTAGTCATGTTTTGTGTGGTTATAATTTTGCACTGAAGTTTTCAAATGAAGTTTTATGCATATGCTTTAAGCAGCAAGACAGCCAAAACCACATGTTGGCCTGTGCTGGAGATTTGAAGCTGATATGCTAAAAAAGTTTAAATATCGAGCCAACCGATGTATTGGACTATCTTAAAGGCTATTGCAGCATACATGTTGGAAACCAACTGACACTAAAATATAGCTGCAAGCAGCTCAAAACTGTTCAAAAGTTTTGTTAATTGAGTGTTAATCCACACAGTGTTGTATAAATGAAAGATGAAAGTTACTACTAATACAATGCAAATAATGTGAGCCTGTCATTTGATTCTAGAAGTTGATCAAATGGAACTTCAAAAATGTGCCGTAACATATTCACATTTAGCACAGATATGCCCCTCTAAAAGGATCCCTCCCCCGACAGTGAGTGCAGTTTACAGTGGTAACAGTGACTTGGCTTTATTCTGTGTTTGTGGAGCAGAGGAATGTCCTGACGTGTGGCTTTAGCTGAGTAAAGCCTTCGTCAGCTGCACAGACCCTGTTTCTCTCCCATCAAAACAGGACGGACCTGCTCCAGTCCAGCAGCCAGCCCAGTGTTTGGGGTCAGAGGGAGACAGAGAGACGGGGGGGTAGGTGTTTATGGTTTGGGATTGTGATAGTTGTGAATGAGACTTTTTTTTGTCCCAGATGAAGCTACAGTTATACCTTTTGAGAACATATTGAATCTTCACAAAATGGATTCATTCCAATTAATGTAATTTCTGTTTCATAAAACCTCTCTAAATGCATGGCATATCTTATTCAAGTATTGGCTGAGTAAACATTTTATTACATGAAACTTACCAGAACATTGCTTTGAACTATCCAGCAAGTAATAAAGAAGACATATTATGCAAAATAAATAACCATGTTGTAATTTTCCCCTTGTTTACTAGATCTGTCATCATATATGGGGCTAATATTTGCACTTTTTAGCATTTCAGCCTTAAATCTCTTGCACTTGAGCATCTGCAAAAATATCAGCAGACCTTATTGGCCATTGGTTTCTCTGAAGTCTAAACTATTTGCATTGATTGTTCAATGTATATCTTTACACACTAGAACTTGTATTTGCACCACAGCAGACTTGTTTTATTAGCTTGTTTAAATGTATTAGATTACTAATGCGATTTTAAAATGGTCAAAATGTAAAATTAGCATCCGCAGGTAGATCAAATCTATAGATCTTGCGCTGTATAGTTAATGTACATTTATATAATTATCTACTTTTCTTTTTATGAAGACGTATTTTATGGAGCTAAATTATTCCCTGATTGGAAATGGGAAAGATGGACTGGCATGGTCATTTTAGCTTTTCCTCGACTGATGCAGAAAAGACGGTTACATTTTTATATAGCACTTTACAACACAGAACCACTCACCCATTCACACACCAGCTTATGCAGACACTGGGGGTGAGGTCACCACTACCACCAACCTGTGGATCTTACCACTCAACCAATAATGTTTTATGTCGAGAGCAGGATTTGAATCACTGACCTTCAGAGCAGTGGACAAACGCTGTACCAACTTAACTACTCTCACCCAATAGACAAAATCATACGATTTGCTCGCAAATTGACTTCATTAATGCAACTCTGTAGCTGAACACTTCCAAAACTTCTAGTGGCTGTGCTGTACTATTCAATCCCACACAACTTTATAGGCCTTCCCTCTGTTGTTTACTTGGAGCCTCTAGCTTGACCCAGTGCCCTGTGCCGTTGGTCTGACCCCTCCCTGTGTCGACTCTCTGTTGTAGAAGTCTTATCTCAGTCTGAGCACACACGCAATCTCCTCAGTCAGGTAGTTTTACCAAGAAATCGCTGTCTACAACTCTTTGGTTCTGTCCTGAGGCGTTTTACTTTCATATATCTTAATATAATGGCTGTATAAGTTTGTATTGTTTGGTTGTTCAAACCCTACTGCATGCATTGGATATTATTATTGTGTCTTTGGGCAAGTCATCTAAGAGATGGCTACGAGTAGTATAGTAGTATTCTACTCAAAAAAAATGAAAGGAACACTTTGAAAACACATCAGATCTCAATGTGGGGAAAATCAGTTCGATATCTATACAAATATGGACAGGGCAGTGTACAAAAGTATGCCACCTCCACCTGCAACTGGTTCAGCACGAGCAGTTTGGTGATTCAGTGATGGTCTGGGGAGGCAGATCCATGGAGGAACACACAGACCTCAACTGGCTAGAAAACAGCAGTCTGACTGCCATTAGGTATTGGGATGAAATCCTTGAACCCATCGTTGGCGCAGTAGGTCCTGAGATCCTGCTGATGCGTGACAATGCCCAACCACATGTGGCAGGAGTCTGCAGGCAGAACCTGGGTCTGATACAACTGAATGGTCCTCACGATCACCTGACTTAAACCTGATAGAACACCCTGTGACATTATGTTTGGGTGCATCAGACACTGGCTGGTTGCTCCTCAGGCTCTGCAGGAGCTCAGTGATGCCCCCACACAGATCAGGAAGAACATCCTACAAAACACCATCGTCTTCTCTTTAGGAGCGAGACACGACGTTGTCAAACATGCACAGAAGCACGTGTGGGTCACGCAAAATATTGAGAAGCAACTTTATTTGCAGAAATAAAATTTTGGCAAAGTGGACCAACCTATCAGATCATTATTTCTCTATGATTTTCAGATTGTATTTCTACTTCCATTAAAGATGTGGGATCCTTTTGTTCCGAAGACATTGCCCTGCCCATATTTGTATAGATATCCAGCATATTTTTTCACATTGAGATCTGGGTTTTCAAAGTGTTCCAGTATACTTTCTCATTTGTTTTTCATCTTTCTTTGAACAAAACATACTCAACCTAAATTGGCAGCAGAAGAGAGGGTCGTCTGGAGCAGACGTACTGGAGATTTACATATGTTTGCTTATTTTTGGTTCTTACAGCTAAGAAGAAGAATAAGAAGGGGAAGACCCTGACTTTGACTGACTTCCTGGCGGAGGACAGTGGAGGCAGCGCTCCAGCCCCGAGTTACCCAACTAAAACCACGAGCTGGGCCGATGAGACAGACGACTTGGACGGAGATGGTGAGCCTCAGACACACAGCTGAAATGGAGCTAAAATGGAGTCTGTGATAGTTTTCCTGAGGGAAGAACAAATGCAGTTAAACCGGTAACAGTGAAACTTGCTGTGTACAAGGCCTCTAACTCCTCAGTACCTCTGGTGACGTAATGTGATTTAAATGTTTTTTGTTTGTTTTTTTTCTTTTGTTTTACAATTAATGCTCTAACAAATTAGGTAAACATGGGGTTGGGTGATGTATTCATGTAAAATGTATTCATGTAATTTAAATAATAATTATAATGCATTAGTGTGCTTTTACCGCTCGAAGTCTCTTCACAATTTCATGCATTATTCATTGACTCCACACTCTGAGCTACTACTGTAGCCACAGCTGCCCTGGGGCAGACTAACTGAAGCGAGACGAGATCAGGCTTTGACTAGGAGGTTGTGTAAGATATGCTTTTGGTCCTCTGTAGCCACATGCTAGTGTAATGACATGTTTTGTAGGCTGCTTTACCTGGTTTTGCCAGACAGCAGGTAACCAAGTAAAGCAGCCTACAAGACACGTCATTAAACCATCAGGTGACGCCTCTGAGGAACATACTGGCAGTAGCTGAAACATGTAAAGCAGGTAAACAAACTCTCTGTCTGACTTAAAGAATCGCTCATTCTAAGTTTGTAACTGAAGACAGAATGAACCTTTACCAAATTTTAGTTTTGTTTCCTCATCTCTCTGGGGTGAAGGAGCTCCAGGATCTGAACTCTTAGGCTAGGTGCAAGGGATGGGACAAGAGCTTGTGCCATAAGATTGTGCACACTTGTGGATATAATAATATTATATTGTATATTAAAATGTGTGTGTGTGTAATATATATAATTTTTTACTTTAGGGTCCCTAACCCTCTTGATAATCATAAATGGTAGCTGTTAATCTGAGAACTATCACTTAATGACGTCACAAGATGCAACAAAGCATTTTGAGTTTTGGAGATGTAGGCAGACTAATAATAATATTAATATACATTTTTCCTGTGGTCATACCAGTTTGTCAAAGCCTGATCCCGTCAGATCTGAGAAGCTCAGCAGGGCTGGGCCTGTTTAGTACTTGGATGGGAGACCACTGGGAATTCCAGGTGTCACAGGGGGTCACCAGTGGCAAAAACTGTTGTTATGTCCTTAGGCAAGACACTAAACCCATATTGCCTAATATGAAAGTGGTGTGTGTGTGAGTGATGGTGGTGGTCGAAGGGGCCGATGGTGCAGAATGGCAGTCTCGCTTCAGTCAGTCTGCCCCAGGGCAGCTGTGGCTACAATAGTAGTTTACCACCACTGAGTGTGGAGTGAATGAATAATGATCTGTAAAGCACTTTGGGTATCTTGAAAGGCACTATATAAATGCAGTGATTAATTAATATTCAAAAATTAAATGTGTAAAAACCCAACTCTGGCTATGTTTTTGGGGAGGTAACATGGCTTAAAGCACACACTCTCACAAGAGTGAATTTTGTGTAATACAGGCCATTTAACGAAACAGCATCATTTGTAATGCTTTCCTCTCTCAGTCTCTACGTCGTGGCACACAGAGGAGGACTCGTACCGCGCTCCTCCCATCGACCGCTCCATCCTCCCCACGGCTCCACGCTCCGCCCGAGAGCCCAACATCGACCGCTCCCGTCTGCCCCGCTCCCCGCCCTACACCGCCTTCCTTGGAAACCTGCCCTATGACGTCACTGAGGAATCTATCAAGGAGTTCTTCCGTGGACTTGCAGTGAGTGCACAGATTAGACCCTTTTTTTTTTTTTCTTAATGGGGAAATGTCACAAAGGAATCATTTGCCTGCAACCCATGAATACGTGGCATTCATGTTCTAGAATTTGATAATTTGCTTTACTCAACTTTTACACAAATCAGCTCACCTCTTGTAGTTGCAGCTAAATTAGTTCTTTATGGTCAGATTGTATTAAAACAAATCTCACTTGAGTAACAGCAATGCCTACAGTTTGCAGCTGATGTTAACATTCTCTGGAGGTGTGATGCTAAGTATCAATAGTCTTTATAACTGTGGGAGATTCATTCATTTGACAGTTAAACTGCAAATTCCACCAGTACTATCCTTTGCTAACAGTGTTGGTCTAAGCTTACTTTGATCAACACCACAAGACAAGTTTTATGGGAACTCTGCTGTGGTGGGTGTGAGGGTGCAGAGGAGAGCGTCAGATTGAGCAGAGCAGAGGAGAGGGTCAGATGGAGCAGTGGGTTGTGGCTATAACCCTGTCTTCTCTCGATCTCAGATTAGTGCGGTGCGTCTGCCTCGGGAGCCCTCTAACCCAGAGCGTCTGAAGGGTTTCGGTTACGCTGAGTTTGACGACGTGGAATCACTAATGAGAGCGCTGAGCCTCAACGAAGAGGTCGGACTTTTTACTTTCATTTTACATTAAAGTAAATGACATAAAACTGTTCATTTTCAGTCATCTTGTGTGCTTTGCACTCGGATGTCACATCATACCTAACAACAATCTCGTAAAAATTTAAATATTTACCAGTTAGTTTATTAAAATTGTTGTCTCTACCAACAGAATCTAGGAAACAGGAGAATTCGAGTTGATATTGCAGACCAATCAAATGACAAAGGTAAAAGTATTTCCACTCAGTTTCTTAAACCACCTCTGTTTTTTCTTTATAGAGTTTAATACAGCTCCTCCCACATGTGTACATTACAGTTTGTGTAGCCAGCACTTGCATATTGTGTATTCATGTTTGTTTGTGTGATTCCAGAGCGTGACAATGGGCCAATGGGGGGCAGAGACAGAGGGGGCAGGATGTCAGACATGGGCCCAGACAAAACAGACTCAGACTGGAGAGCTCGCCCAGCGGGAGACACAGACGATGGCCCGCCCCGGAGAGAGGACTCTTACGGTGAAGCTCCTGTTTACTAGTACATACACAAAACAAGAATGTTCAACAGAATGCATCTAATCATTCACCCATTCACAACACAGTATATAAAGAAATTAAACTAATTAAAAATCATGACACCAAAATTATGAGTTGATCCAATTATTGTAAATTAGTTCAAAATCTCATCTCGATCTCGTATCTGTATCGCCCAGTCACTGCTATGGACACAAACAAGTGGCAGACACTATATAAGGGGCTACTCCAGTCAAGTCATTTTTCAAGTGCTTGTCTCTATAGAGATGCCATTGTTAGAATGTTCCACAAATGGCATTAAACATAAGTTGCAAGTGTTTTTATGGCTAAAGAATCTGCTGTGTGGGGTAGCCTCTCCACAGATAGTGGAGCAGATTAAGTCTCCACAAAGAATCGTTCAGTTTGTGGTACAAGCACCAAAGTTCTCATATATTTAGCTAACATCATGCTCTTTTAGAAAAACCCGTTAGCTACCTGAAATATTCAACATGGCGGCCATTTTTCAAGATGGCTGACCAAACAACTGATTTCACATAAGTATGAGCTAAAAGACAATAAGTCATCATGTTCTTAATCAAAATTAATGGAATAAATCACAAATTTGCAAATATATACATATACAGTAATGCAATGTAAGGTATTCAACAAATTTTACATCAAAATATATTTAATTTTGCATAAAATTCATTAAATTTTCTCAGAATTTGAAACCAGAAGTATTCCAATAACCATTTGGGAAGTAGAAATAAAAACACGAGCAAAATTTAAATAAAATGCAACATATTGACATAGGTTAATTTCAGAAATAGAGCTATTAAAATAGAACCATTCATAGTGCCGTATGTGCTCAAGAACTATCGAAAAAAAGACAATAACGTTTTTTTTTTCTTTTCATTTTTGTTAAACTTTGCTTATTGACCTTAATCATTGTAAATGCAACCAAAAAGCTGTGTGCAATTTAAACCCAGATGAAAACATTTACACCTACCACAACAGTCTCTTTTACAACCACATTTGGTCAATTGTTGACAGCTTTGACTAATATATACTACTATATATACTATACTACTATATACTATACTATACTACTATACTACACTAATACTAATAATACTACTACTATATATACTATATTAATATATACTACTATATACTACTAATATATTATACCCACTATTCTCTGGGTTGCATGAATAATTAGTTGGAGGACACTTAAAATCCTCATTTTTGTCATTCTGACAAAGGCAACATTTACTCCAGTCAGTTTTTGTTGCAATGCTGAGTTTAGATTTTGACAACGGTTTCGGCCGAGGGGCTATCCTTTTACCACCTTACCATTAGTTTTATTGTTTCAATTAGCACATTTGTGTATGGGATACAACTAGGTTCAAGCTATTTTTCTTTACACCTGGCCCGATCGTTCATCCAGTGCCATTTCTGTCCCGTGCGATCTGTACACCATCCAGGTAACTAAAGCCCTGTTACCCTTGGCTCGACTTTCCCACGCTGGCACATCCTGTAAATTCAGGTACAGCTATCTAACTTCAATACTACAACTAATATTAGTATAACTAATACTAAAACTACTAGCTGGTGTATTTACAGGGCTAATTAGATAGCATTTGGTCATGCTACATTAACTACATTAAATATTAGAATGTTAGTAACACTGAACCCCATGCTGAGTTTCACAGCAGCGGAGTCACCAGTATGCCCTGGTTGTCCTATGACCCCACCCATTTCTAGAATAAACACATGTATATTCTAACAAAAACATATTTTAGCACATTGGTACTACATATATTTAAGATTTCTTCAGGTAGGTTTCAATAAGATTTGTCCATGAGATTTCTTTCTACTGTGTGTTATTATTTAATGCCATTTATTTGTAGATGTGATAAATAACCATCAAAAATGATTTGATGAATAATTTAACTCACAATAGAAATAATTAATTAAATAACAAACCTATGCTTCAACATTTATACACATATAGTTATATATAGTTATTATATATGCCATCTTGGATATTTTTGGTGGCTAACGGGCTTTTCGTAAAGACCATGTTATTATCTATCTCCACTCCAAATTTGATGCTTGTACCACAAACTCAATGATTATTTCAACTAGCAGCTCCACTAAGAACTGACACTTCAGTCTCATTGGAGGTGGACACATTTAATGCCATAGTGTGGAATATTCCAGGCAAAGCAATACTCCATGAAGACACAATGGTGGTGGACTCTCCCCAATAAAGTGAAATAGTGCACCTTTAAACATATTTATACTGTTACTCCAAGGTTCTTTTGTTCTTCCTATTTTCAAATAGGCAGTTTTACTTTTTTTTTTTAATGTAGTGTGTAAATTGTCTTTAATGGCCTGCTTCTGCTCTGGTCACAGGATCACGTGACCGTTACGAGTCGGATCGCTACAGAGATGCACCTCGCCGTGACGACCGATACGACGGAGGCCGGGACCGTTACGGAGGAGGGCGTGATCGCTATGACGATCGAGACCGCCGGGATCGCTACGACGACAGAGGAGGTCAGACTAATGCACAACTGAATCTACCTGAACATATTTAAAGGTGCTGTACCTGTCCTTTTAAATAAAAGCAGGTTTTAGAGTCAAAATGAGTCCACAGTGTACCATCTGCATCTAATTATAAAACAAGTTATTGACAGTACCAGTGTTCCAGGAAATTCTGATTCCCCTTTGATTCAGTTAGAAAGGGAAGCTAATGCCTCTACTGCATGAGAAATTACACACCCAATTTAAGCACTCTATATCTGCCTGTGATAATGTTTTCTACTATTTACAACACAGAATATGCACTTAAAGTTCATTTTTAAAATTTAAACTTGGAGGTTTTCAAACTCCAGTTCACAGTTTTCTCATGCTAATTAGGGATGGGACGATTCTCAAAAAAAGATTGGGATATCAGTTTGGGATGGTGTACATCAAGATGGATTCTTGTGAACACTCACAAGAATCCATCTTGATGTGCGCACACAAATATTGCGAAATTCCAAATTGCTGCACAAGTTTACAATTTTCTAACCTCAGAAGCAATTTCTTTCTAAGACATTGCCACTAAATGCCATGGAAACAAGTCAAATCTCGTCCTGTCAACTTAAAGAAAACCCGCCCTGCCACTTCTTTGCAGTGCACATTGTGAAGTCCTTTTAACGGCGCTTGCTTGTGCTGTTTCAGGCTATGATTCCCGGGGTGGAGGGGGTGGTCGGCGGGCATTTGGCAGCAGTTTTCGCCGTGATGATTACGATTCTCGTGGCAGCAGCGACCGATTTGGAGACAGAGATCGCTATGGAGACGACCGGTACGAGAGGAGGGAGGAGCGCCGGGAGGACAGAGGTGAGGACTGAGGACTTAACACAAGGCTATATGGAAACACATGGTTCTTTAAATCCAAATGGAGATTCATTTCTAATGGTCATTGATCAGGTTGGGTCTTAGCATAGCACTTATAACTCTAGCACTTATAGAATAAACACTCATAATGAGTGGCACTACAGCTGTGCTATGAATCAAATTTGAATGGAGATTGAGATCCAGTCTTGTTTAATGGTCAGTGATCTGCTCTGTTCTTTTTAATGTAGAGGCCTACAGCCAGTCCTGTCAGTTCAGCCCATTACCCAGATCTCTGGGTTTTTACCATGTATCAAACCTTAAATATTCAAGTAAAAGTGAAACAATAGCATGCAGTGGAGCACATAGAGCTTTATGCATAGTGCCTTCCTCTGGACCAGGGGTGTCAAACTCATTTTGGTCCGGGGGCCGTATCCACCCTACTTTGATCCCAAAGGGGCCGGATCAGAAAACTCTTGGCATATAAACCCCAAAAATAACAATAAGTTCAAATATTTGTGCAGAGAAACCAAATCTATTACAGAAATCTTTTTTAATTGATGAACTCTTTTACAAAATATTATAATATTATGAACAACCTGAAACTTTAAGAAAAATGCAATTTCAACACAATGTTTTAACATGAACTTTTATGCAAATAGGAAAAAGTAAATTTTTCTTGGAAAATCCTGCACTCGGCTCCTCTTTTCTCATTTTTGACATTTTGCTGATGAGGGTGTCACGGTAAACGATCGTCCTTTAAGAGCATTTAGAAAGAGGCAGGTCTTCATTTGTGCTGCTCTGGTGGGAGGGGCCACATACAGAGATGTTGGAGGCGCTGCTATGGTCAGCACCGCAGAATATTACCAATATTTTAATAGACAATATAATTTAAATATTTTAATAGAAAATCAGCCGAGGGCCAGATTAAAGGTCTTGGAGGGCCGGATCCAGCCCCCGGGCCGTATGTTTGACACCCCTGCTCTGGACAAACAGCTGACCAACCCACTCTCAGGTTGCACTTTAAATTACCTCTTGGTCAGGTTTTGATCACAGCTGCTGTTTTCCTGGTTAAGTGAAATTGAAATAAAAACGAGGACACTGCAAGTAACGTGTCCAGGTTGGGAAAGTGAGTGATTGTGTACAGATAAGCAGGCGCTGTGCATGTGAGCTGAAGTCTGTCTGGATGTGCGTGTTTGCAAAGGGCTTGAAAACATGTGGCTTAGAGCAGACTTCAGACTTTGGACAATGAAATTTGACTTCCTTTCTCTCCTCTTCCCTCCTCTCCCCAACACTCATCTCTCCCACTCTCCTCCTCTCACCCCCACTCTCACCTCCTTCTCTCCTCTTTCTGTCCCTCATCCCTCCATTCTCTCTCTCTCTCATCTTCCCCATATCTCTTTCTCCACCTCTCTCCTCCCTACTTTCTCCCTTTGTCTTTCTTACGTTTCTCTGTCTCCTTCCCCTCTCCTCACAGGCCCTCCACAGAGGCCCAAGTTGAACCTAAAGCCTCGCAGTGTGCCCAAAGAGGAGGAGGGCAGCGGGGGCACCTCTCCCACCCCGGCCCCCGCCCCCTCCAGGTCCTCCTCCATCTTTGGGAACGCCAAACCGGTCGACACCGCAGCGAAAGAGCGTGAGGTGGAGGAAAGGCTGAAGAAACAAGAGGAGAGACGGCAACGACAGCTGGAGGAGGATAAAGGACGGGCCCCAGAGAGGAAACTCAGAGACAGGTACTGAGCTGGTATTAAAACTACTGCAAATACTTCCTACTCGTATACACACTGACAGAGGACAGGTGTACACAGCTGTACAGGCCGCGTTGCTACGCTCCATGCTCTTTCCATGGTCTATTGTGTGTCTTACATGTGCACTGTTGTGCTTTGTAGGGAAATACAGCGTAGATGTTCAGAGCGCGCTTGTTCCCATTATATCTGACACATCATTTAAAAACACTAAAGGCGGTGTGTTGACGCTCTCTACAACCCCGACGTATTTTCCAAGTCGACGACGCTGATTACATCGACGAATCGTTGCAGCTCGAATTCCCTGTCTGTGGGGTCCTATTGTGTATAAAAGTAACTCTGTAGTTTAGACCTCTACAAAAATGTTCTGAAATGCATGGGACTCTTGGATTGGTTTGGATGTTCATGGACAGTGTCACCTGCCATACTATGGCACATTTCAGGCAGTGCGATTACATCTCCATAGGGTTATTTATTGCTCCTTTAATGTGTTGTGCATTTTGTCTCCACTGAATGTGTGTGAACTGTGTGTTCCAGGGACCCGAGCTGGCGCAGTGAAGAGTCCCACACTGAGCGCTCTCGTACAGGAAGTGAATCCTCACAACCAGGAAGTACTTCTGGGAGAGGTAATATGATATTTCAAGATGCTTAATACTAAACTTGGCCACTTTGACAGATGAATAAAAGTGAGTCCTACACCTATGCTCCACTGCAGCACTGTTACAGCTTTGGTCTAAACTGAGGGTTACCACATAAATGTATTTAGCCGTAGTGACCCAGCAGTATCTAGAGTTGGTTTAGGGCTCTTTTGTTTATGGGTTTATATTGGTTTGACAAGTGTATTCTCTTGGACATTTTGCACACTGCTACAAACATGTGCACGAGTTGTGTAGGGTTGGAATATCAGAGGACTTCCCTAAATATCGGTATTGGTCCAGTATTGAAAATGTCAACAAAAGGGCACAACCGATTATTATTGGAATTATTTTGGATTTGATATGATACTGATAAAACGAGCTTTGGAGCTGATTTAACAGCCGATATATTTAGTGACGTAAAAATTCACTAAATCTTTACTGGATTTGAAATTGGGTTTATTTAGGCTACATTTACTGTTCTTCTGTCTCTTTACATCATATGTAAAGGCAGTAGATCGGCCAAATGGCATTTTTGCATGACATCCTAGCCTGTAAACGAAGTAACTAAACTACCGCTATTAGCTTTCAGCAGTTAGCCTAAATGCGGGCACACCTCAGTCATTAATTGTATTTATAAATGCAGGTCATTTACAACTCTGTTCACATCTGATTTACATATCAATACAGTCCAGTAACATTTTTACAGCCACAGTAAAGTGACTATACTTGACTCTAGGCCAGTGTAAGAAAACAGGCTGTTGATGTGTGGTATTTTACAGCAGCTAAGCTCTAACCAATGAGAAAGAACCAAAAGTAGCTTCAAAATCAACACATTTGCAACACTCACCGTTCATACAGGCACCTCTCAGATCACAAGTCTTCACAAATAAGTGTCCTTTTAATCAAAGACGATGATGAGATCACACTGGTGTAAACAAGCACATGTGAGTCACGTGATGTGACACTGGAGGCATTCAGGGGCAGTACGGCGTCACAGACACGGACAAATTACTCCTGATACATATTGATGAGGCACCATATTAGAACATTTATATGTCTGTAAATAGGATTAAATTAACATCGTATAGAGAGGCTAAGCTTTATAAGGAGGTATAACATGCCCATATGAACTATCGGCCCATATGGGCAAAGTGTAGGCTGATAGCCAATATGTCTCCAAGTGCTCATATCGACCGATATTAATCGGGCCCTTGTACAATATTTGGTATAAATATACAAAATACGCTAATTTGCAGTTTGTTCAAAAGGACAAATCAGATTTCCTGAGGACAGACACATAAGTGAAAATATGAATTTATTTCCCAGAGAATACATTTTGTGATTTTTTTTTTTTTTTTTTTTTTTTTACAAAAGTTCATTTTTAAACGTCGATATGACTTGACATAAATTTGGCCTGTAATAGATTTTAAAAGCTCAGTCTTGGTATCTGCAAATATTGGTTATCGGCCATGACACAAGACAAATATCAGATATCAGTATGGGTTCAGAAAACTGCATATGAGACCATGTCTAGACAAATACACTTGTCACAATGTTGTCAGTAAAATGCCACATGCACAGCAGTTTTCCACCGTGTCCTCTAACCCTCTGCTACTGTCCCTGGTGTGCCCCTCAGGCTCCCGCTGCAGAGAGGAGCGCTCAGGGGAGAATGAGGTGTTTAATCAGGAGGCAGAGCCCACCTCGCCAACCTCCCCGCGACCTCCCACCTCTGCCCCTAAAGAGCCCCTCAAAGTGATGCCCGCGCCCCCTCCCAAAGAGAACGCCTGGGCCAAACGCAGCGCTGGTGCCAGTACTGGGTCCAGTGAAGGAGAGAGGGGCCAGCCGGTGTCCCCCAGCGGGAACACCCCTCCTAAAATCGGGTATGAACATCACAGGAGCTCTAGCCTGGTTCTCAGCCTATGTCATGCACTGAGGGAGGGACAGGTGCATTTAACCAATCCACTTGTGCAAAGCTACAGAATGTTGCTTTAGTTCATATCATGACCTTGGATTTAACAAAAAATCTTCTGACATATTTTCACCTGTTGTTGAAATGTTGATTAAATGTTGATAAATATATTTTGGGACTTTTTTCCATTTTTTTCCACCTAACATTTCAGACTTACCTGTGCTCTCTGGTGTTCTGTCAGGCTAAAGATTGCATCTAGTGGTGATATGTGAGAATACAACAGGGAGTGTTTACAGATAAACAATCTAAATTATATGCTTTGGATCAAGATAACATAATTAGAGAAAGCTCATGTATTTAAATAAGATGATTCAGTAATAATGAACATTATCAGATTCTAAAGTTGTGCATTTGTTTGTGTTCTACAGCTCTGGTGATGAGCGAGGATCTGGGAAAGGTAAGAAGTGTGTGAGCCTCTCCAGCCTAAAGCTTTAAAGGGACGTTCAGACTGAAGACATCGTCAAAATGACTCCTCTGGTTTTATGTTTATCTGAGGACAGACTGTTGAGACGCAGAGCTCCTCTAAAGACACTACTTTGTTCTGAGGAGCTCTGGTTTGGTCTGAACGAACCATACGGCTCCTGCTGCTGCTGTTGCTGCTGCTGTTGCTGTTGTAGTGTAGTGGAGTGTAGTGACCTGAAGGTGGCAGTGTGTGAGTGTAGCTCTCTGGGATAAAGGTGCTCCCATCAATCCGATTTCCCCTGTTGCCAGCACAGGGAGACATGTTCTTAATCTGAGCATTCAACCTGAGAGTCACTCAGTGTGTGACTCCCAGGGCTTTTCACATACACATTATTTCATGTTAAAAGACCCTTAACACCTTTACAAGACTATCCAATAATGATACTGCCTTTTTTGCAAAAAATTTACACATTTTGGACATTTAGGTTGTGATTATTACGCTTAAAAAACATTCTTGCTTTGATCTGGCTTGCCCCTCCGCAGACTTTACTCTTATTTAGCCTGGAGAATGGTCTCCTGCTTGTTTCCATGGACACGGTGTTCCTTTGGCTATAATCTTTCACAATATGGCATAAAACATATTTATGTTTCCAAGTATGATTCTTTTTTACTGTCTTTCCATGGAGTCATGCTGATGATGTGCCACCTCCAGGAAGTTACATATTGTAGCTTTAAATTAAGTTTGGCTATAAAAGTTCTTAAACAGTAGACACTGTGACCATATGAAATGGACTCTTGTGAGGTTCAAGCCATGTTAGAATGTTGTTTCTTTCTCTTCACCACACACCTGGAGTTTTGTTTCATTCACACATGTTTGAGTCACTGTTTCTCATTATTAGACTGTCTACATCGCTAAAGCTCCAAATGCTTTTCCACCTTGTGATGTCATGTAGGGGTAGTTTTTTCAATGAACCGCTCCTTTTACCTTTAGTTCAGTCGCAAATGGCAATTCCAGGACTGAAATTATCCAAATGAATCTAGTGATGGTGTATGGATTTTAAAAACAGCACTTTGTGTTACCTCATGACATCACAAGATGGAACTGTGTATTTTCCTTTTGAAATGAAGAAATTTACAGGGTTTGTGTGTTAAACATGTGGGAATGAAGCAAAATACAGCTCCAGGTCTGTTTGTGATGAGGAAACTATATTTTAACCTAGATCAAAAAATAGCATAATATTAGCCCTTTAAGACGTGAGCGGAGCACCTTCACTCCAGACCCCCCTCACTGGTCTGGTTTCTCTTTAAGATGAGAACAAGGCTGACGGCGTTCGGCGGGGGGCCCCACGAGCTCGAGGGGGCTCCACGGGGCCAGCGACCGGCAGAGGCAGAGGAGAGGGGCGACCGGGAGAGCGCAGGAAGGAGGCAGACAGGTCAGGAACTAAAGAAATGCACAAAAACTAAAACTCCAACTGAGAAATCATGAGAATAATATGAGATACAAGCTCCATCAGAGGCTACAGGACAGAGAGGAGAGAGTTCTGAAGAGGTACTCGGCTCCAGTGTCCGAGCTGAGGAAAGACGGGGCAGGATTTAGACAGAGCAGTGATCAGACCACAAAAGTGAACCTTACTGATCATAAATGTGATTTTCTTTAACTCTGTTTGATTATCCAACACAGAAAAGAATCTCGAAGAGAGAGAGACCCCAGACCCGCTCCAGAGCCAAAGAAATACGAAGAAACCCCAACTCCCGTAAGTGTGATTGAAAAGAAATAAAGCTGCAGTGGAAGGGTCTGAATGTGGAACTTGTGTGTAAAGTGGCCACATGTTAAACTTAAGGCTATATATATATATATATATATATATATATATATATATACACACATATACACATATGTGTGTATATGTATATATACACATACACATACATATACACACATACACATACACATGCACGTTTCAGCAACTATTTGTGGGTACCCGACCCGGTGCAAGACTTTGCTACATCCGCGTAACTTCTACCTTCCTTCAGCGTGTCCAGAAGTCCAACTTTTTGCAGGATGGTTACATCTTCCTTTGCCTTTTAGTTGCGAGCGCAGGAGCCTTTGTCGGTGCAGAACGTTTCATCAACATTGTGGGTTTTGTCGGAGAGAAAACTTGCAAACATACAGCACTTCAGAATCACACTGATACAGATCCAACATTTATGTAAATTTGGCTGAATGCATTCTGTACTGTACAGGAGACACGACACGGAGGAGATTGATTGTCGGTGAACTACAGTCCCTTATCTATTCAGGACGCAGGGGGAGGAACACAATGCGCATTCATACATTGTAAAAAAAAAAAAAAAAAAAAAGGCATGCAAAATTGCACTAAAAAATCTGCGAAACAGCGAGAGCGCGAAAGGTGAACCGCGATATAGCCAGGGATGACTGTACACCTCATAAATATATATTTTTTTATCCTTTTTCTTTCCCACAGAAGTTCAGCTCAGCCAGTAAATACGCCGCTTTGCTAATGGACGGAGACCAAGGCGAAGACGCAGAGGACAACGAATAAATCCTCCAAATAGAAAATGAATCACAACAAACAAGATGGCCGCCAAGCTTCAGGAAGAGGACGTGGAGACGCAGATGAAATAAAAATCAGTTTGGCTTTCCCTCCCTCACCTCCTGCACCGGACACTAGACTGGACTGTTTTAATGCAACCGCAGTAGCTCCTATTGAAAACAAGGATATGATGGATAATAATTGTAATAAATAAATAAAAAATGGGGGAATTAATTTGTACATGTGTGGATCCAAGATGGCCGCCATTTGATATTTTTTGTTAGGCATGATTTTAAAGGGGGGTAATATGCAAATTTGACTTTATAAGCTTTCTGCCACGTCATAAATCTGTTTCTTCATCTAAAAAATCCCTGGAGTTGTGTTTTGTTTCGTTCATGTTTGAGTAATCATCTTGTTTAATGAATTTCTCATTTGGTTTATCATGTTAAAGCGTCTTGATCACATGAGCTTACAATGGTCTTACAGAATCAACGGTACTGTGACCAAAATGAATTCCTGTAGCTTTTTACACAAGTTTAATTACATCTACATCTGTCTTAGTGTTCTTTGGGGGATAAAATTAATGTCTCCCTCAACTGTTGATGCCACAAAATGGAATTTCCAACAGGAGAATAGACCAGTAGAGGGCGCCACAACACCTTTTCTGTATTATTCTATTTTACACTTTAAAGGTGCACCATGGAACTTTTTTGTATTTGCAACCTACTTGTCACCATGGAGATTTAACTTGTCTATCTTGCATTTATTTTTTCCTTGCTAAACAAAAAACATGTTTTCATACTATGAGTGGGATCGTCTCCACAGATCCGAACTGTAACTTGGCTTGATCATGTTGTTTATCTCCATAGAAATTCGATTTTTAATGCCATACTGATAATCATCCAAACGAGAGCCAAAACCAGAAAAGTTGCCAAGTGTACCTTTAACTGAAATATATTTGATGTGAAGAAATCTAACTGTTAACTGTTAAAGGTCCTGTATTACACACAAGTGACTCTTGTGAGCTTTAGTCATGCATTTGTGTTTGTTTCATTCACACTTTCGAGTAATCCTTTACTAGTCTATCTACATCTTCAAAGCTCAAAGTCCTCTGTTCCATCTTGTGATGTCATGAAGTGGTAGTTTTCAAGTAGTTACCTTTTACCTTTTGTTTAGTAGAGATTAGCAATTACAAGAAATGTATGGAGCTTAACAACACTGTGGAGCACTTCCTGTATTACCACGTGGCACCACAAGGTGGAACAATGTTTTCTGTGTGAGAGAAGAACTCTGCTTAAATGTGCAGGGTTTGTGCGTTACACATGTGTGAATGAACTAAAACACAGCTCCAGATCTGTTTGTGATGAGGAAACGTCATTACAACATAGAACCGACATCAGCGTAATATGGGCCCTTTAATAACATTCAGCATGGCTATAGAGCAGTTATTATTTGTCAGTTATACTTTGAAAACTCTGCACCAGAGAATACAGGATTACTCAAACATGTGTGGTTAAAGTTAAACAACTCCAGATATGGTTGAGATGAGGGAACATTATTATGACTCTGTAGAGAACTTAAAAATAAGTTTGATTTGCATTTGACAGGCTGATAAACTCCACTCACTTTGGATCATTAGCCTAAAGCTCTCACAACAGTGCTTCTCAACTGGTGGAGCAGGACTCATGTGAAAGATCTGACCAAATGTTTAAAATAGCACAAGAAAAGTCACTGACGTTATAATCTATAACAGTGTTTCCCATCCGGGGGTACAGGGAGCGAGCACTTTTCCTATTAAACAAGACAGTGTAATTGAATCAAAATTCAATACAAATGTTAAATCTGGTGTAAAATGTATTTTCTAAAGAAGGTCTGGAAGAGTTTTGACACCATTATTGCACTATAAATCATTCTAACTGACACTAGGCCCATACTACAATAGTAAACACGTGTATCTGGGTATAGCCGAGGGAGGGGCTCCTCTCAATCTGACACAAAGCTTAGGAGGTACTAATACAACAAGTTTGAGAACCACAGATCTATAAGTCAGTGTGATGTGTCCAGTTGAGAGTCACTGCTGGAGATGTGTCATGTCTTCCAATGCTTAAAACTGGAGCAATTCTGAAGCTCTTGTGCAACATAGGGATGGATCTTGTGTTGAATAAAGTCATTTCAGTGTTGACTTTTTCTGAGGATCGTCACTGCAGGAGCCACTCTCACAAGGAGAAAACTCATTAACAAAAGTATGACCTCAATTAGAATACTGAGTTGTCCACTATAACTTAACCCCCCACTTTTCTGCTGGAGGGTCCGGCAAATGCTTTTCTCCATGGAGATGTTATTGCTCTGTCTGAAATGTTTCACTGTATGGCATTAAACCTGTTCATCTTCATTAGGGGTGTGCAAAAATCCTGAAATATTGATATATCGTATCATTAATTTGATGATACAATATCAGTGTCATGGGCTGTTGGATCGACATATTGCCAAGAGTAATTTTAGAGATATTTTACTAAATTACTTTGTGTAAGAGCTACAATTGTGTTTTGATGAGTAAAATTTGTAGGGGTGTAACAATAACCAAAATATTATGATATCGTATCGTCAAAAGTGTCTCAATAATATCATGGGCCATCACAGTATATCAAATCACAAGTTTCTTTGTTTAAATTAATTGTATTGGTCCAGCAATAGCTAAAAAAACAGGGGACTACATCGACCATAATCTTTTGCCCCATTCTGGTGCAAACTACATGAAGAAATAGCTGTTCTAAGCACTTTTAAATCTGAGTTCTTTGAACAAATTCTTGCCAAAGCATTTAAGAGGAAAACAGCAATATTCAAAATTGTGTTAGTCTCCACAAAATATTGCAATAAATAGTGAGATTTACATTGTGAAAATATCATACCGTGAGATTTGGATATTGTTACACCCTTAAAAATGTGTGCTTTTCATATTAACTTTGCACAAACTTTGTGGACTTAGTCAACTTTTAGTATCACACCCATGATTTAGCCTTTTTTCACTGAAATATCGAATTGATTTGAAATACATCGTATCGAATAGTATTGAATTGAAAGTGCACCGTATTGAAAAACATATTGTATCGAAGTATGTATCGTATCGGCAACTATCTTAATGATTCCTAGCCCTAGTCTTCATGGAGACTAAACCAGGCCAAGGTTACAGGTCAGATCTGTGGAGAGGCAACCCTGCTCACAGTCAGAACGCCGGTTTTGTTTTGTTTTTATTTGACAGGAACAATGCAGTCACCCATAGTCACAGGCACAACATTCAGCTGATGTGCCACTTCTCATGTCCTCTTCCTGGTTAGGCTTTTCTTACAATAAACAAAACACAAAAACACCTTCTTTAAATAGATTCTTTCAACAACAGTGCAGCTTCACATTTCAGATATTCACGCACACACACACAAACACACACAAAAAAATACAATATTTTCAGGTGTGTACAACTTGTTTTTAAGCAGGATATGAGTGTCAAGGTGAACAGCTGAAGCTCTGTTCTGCACTTCAGGTCAGGGGGCAGTGAGGTCCAGAGTTTACCACAGTGATATGAAAAACTGATTGTCTGAATGTGGTTCTGTGGTGTGGGATTGTCCAGGTGTTACTGGAGGTGCTTCATGTGACTGTTGACTCTCTGAGTCATAAAATCACTTGTAATTTAATACATGTAATATACAGCTGTTTAATGCCGTGCTGTGGAACATTCCAGGCAGAGCAGTGACATATCAGTGAAACTAAAAGGTGATGGATTATGCAGAAGCAGCGTTTTCATGATGCTACAGTTTCACCCTGTAACGTGTGAATGAAACAAAAGACAACTCCAGGTCTGTTTGTGATGAGGAAACTACATTAGAACAGACATCTGGCAATAGCCTAATATGGGTCTTTTAATGGGTGCACTATAGTGTCACTGTAGTTCTAGTTGTGTTTGTATTAGCAGTTGGCGTCTCTCCGGCTCGCTCCTGGTGGTCTCCCAGTGTTTCTTCAGACCTGCCCCCCGCAGAGAGCTCTGTCTCCTGGGGACAGCTGCTCAGAGACGCCCTCCCTCCCGGAGCTCCGACAGGTCTCACACAAACAGTGAAGACGATTTACAAGGTCTGTAACACTGCTATATTTACTAACGTGTCATATTCAGCTGATGGGTTAAAGTCATTTCAGATGACAACAATCACAGCTTTGGGTTGAATAATGGCTCCACTTTATGAGGCAATTGTGAAAAAAACCCCACTTTTGTTTATGTTTCCTGACAGAGAAGATGCTGAACTTCGTGTCAGTTTTTGTTTCATGTGGATAGGCCCAGTAATTACACAGATCTGAACCATAAACCAGGTCAACACATCCACAATCTGACACTTACAACAAACTCCACGTCCATGTTACAATGAAAGGATTCTGTTATGAAGATTTCAGGATTTGTGACACTTTTGGAAGCCTTAGTCTTGGTACTTACAGTTTTAGAATTTCACATAATCTCTGCAAAATCCATCAAATGATCATTATGATCAGAATGACAGCAGATGATACAAGGAGTAGTTTGAATATGGCTAAAAACAATAGCTGCTCCTACTGAAACCATTACGCTATCACGTCACAGTCACCAGTGTGCCTATGTTCCCTCAGCCTTATGTTTCCTCATTTTTAAGTTTTTTGTTGTTTTTTTTTCAAAATGAGGCCCTATGTTCCCACATTTCCTTTATCATCAATCTGCATCAGATTTTATCCCCATTTCTCCCAGTTTGGTCGTTAATTACACCCGACCTGTTATCCAGCAGCAGCTGACTACAGATGTGATGTAGAGGTCGTAGTGCAAAGGACCTGAGGTTGAAATGACTCTGAATCATCTCTTTAAATGCAATATAAAAATAAAAACTGATTTGAATTAGACTTTCATTCTGAGAATAATCTTAGCACTAAGAAAAATCTTAGAAATAAGGGAACATAGGGCTGACCCCTCACCGTGCATCCCGCTAAATCCAGGCATGCACTGGGCGATTTTTGGCCCTTTTTGAGCAGATTTTTCACTCGTGCCACTGTTTTGGGGATCAGGCTGACTTTGGCTTAATCGTGTGTCGTGCTTCGTGTAGTTTACATGAGGTAACGAGAATCGATTAATAATTCACAACCAGCTCTTGATCAGCAATTGTAGGTCACAAGAATATCAAGTCTAGTCGCCTCTCATGAGGGTTTTGCACCAAGCCTGAGATCATATGGTGTGAGAACATGAATCGTGAGTTGGGAACTTTTAAACCCTAACCCTATGAATTGGTCGTAAAGTTTGAGCTGGAGCTGAGTGAAACCGTCAAAAATATCACACAGTGTTTCTCTGGCATAATGAAACTCCTGCACATTGCATCAGGTTTGTGAAGTTGTTGTGTACAGTTTTGTGTCATGTTTTGGTATATTTATGGAGAATTTTCACGTGGGAGCATGGGTGAGCACTGGACAGGCTCATACTGCGAACCATAAAGAAAGTTTTTGATGAGGGAACAATGTTATAACTTGATTTGGCACTGTACATCATCTTTAAAAACACAGAGGAGCACATTCTGGGTTAGCACTGGATATCTACATGCATCGTTAGAATGAAAGTATTTGACAAAGACTTTTTTTTTAATGAATCTGTCAGAGTTGTGGTTGAACATGCTATGTGCTGTTGTGTGTCCCAACTGTGGAGCAGGCTCAGCTCAATTCACTGCTTCCTTTGTCTGACTGCACCAGAGGCCACAGCCACTTCCAGAAAGACTTTTTTGTTAGAACGTTCCCCCAAAACTCTGTTCAAACTTCAGTCTCCAGCTTTTGCATTGAAAATACAGCCATGTGTGCGTGTGCGTGTGTGTGTGTGTGTGTGTGTGTAAATCTACAGTAAGTGCAGCAGAGGACCAGAAACACAGAGATCAGCTTTGTCTGTCCCCCGTGCATGTAACCAAGTCCAAGTCATGAGATAGACCACTGTAGACATATACACATGGATGCAAGGGACTAGAACGGGACCAGACCAGGGAGTGCACTAGGAACTGAACCAGGGCAAGATCTGTTTTGTTTGAGTCCATTACGTGTGACCAAGTCCACAAGTCATGAGTTAGACCACTGTGGAGATGAGATGAGGAATGCAAAGGACTAAAGGGCAAGACTGGGAAATAAACTAGTTCTAAATATGGTCTGAACCAGGTCTAAAGCTGCAAGTTACTCACAAACCAGACTAGACTAGAGTATTAAAGACTAGTTTATTACACTGCAAAAAAGCTTGGCCAAGATGTAAGATAAACAATTTATCAGAAAATGACTTAAAAGTAATGAAATGATCTGTCCATGCAGCAAGATCATTTTACTTGAAAAGTTCTCTTAAAATAAACCAAAAACGAAACAGCTGCTTCCCAAGAGGATGAACCAACACAGATGAGAGAGCAACACAGGACCTCAGTCTGCCGTACATCTCCATCTAAAAGGACCTCAGTCTGCCGTACATTTCCATCCAAAAGGGCTTCAGTTTGCCGGGCCACTCCTTTGAGGACAGTGAGGTACAGATCTTAGCCAGAGAAAAAATTGGTTTGAGAGGAGAGACTGTTTTTGTGAGGAAAGACATCTTTGAACAGAAATCTGGGACTCAGACTCTAACTATCCTATTTACAACTCCATCCTCAAACCTAAATCAAAACAAACAAAGAGAACAACAGGGGGATTCTGCTGATAAGACCCCATACTCAGTGAAAGATCAATAGACCTAAGTAACTAATAGAAACTGTAAACAAGTAGGGTCTTAGTTTCAGAGTAGTTTCGATGTAGTTAGCTCCTCCCTGCAGACAGATATAAGGAAGTGTCCACCAGTGTCTGACCACAACTGAAGAAGGAGCTTGGATGAGCTGAGAAACGTTTTCAACCAAATAAATTTTGTCCAGGTGACAAATTAAATTTCTCCTTTTGCGATCTTAAAATAAACTACCTCTACACTAGAATGAAGCATCTGAGAACTAGTGAGTAGATAATAAATCTAAAAACAAGATGAATAATCTGATATAAGTTTAAAAATCTTGGCCAGATCTGAGAAATTTGCAGTGTATAACTCAATATAAGAAACCAAAATGATACTGTTTATTTCATTTTTTTTTTCACAAGTTGATGGAGAGAGAATCCTGTCCTCCCTCCTCTCACCTGCCCCCTCCCCTCACCTGGCCTCTCCCCTTCATAAGCCGCACATGTGAAGTGTGTCAGGGACAGGTAGAACTATACAGTGTGATCACACAAGTGTTGGTCGTGCTGTTTCTTAAGCCTGAGTACCAGCTCTAAAAATGACCGTTGAAACTCTATCTAAAATATTCTGTCTGCAGGGAGACGACACACTGGAAGGAAGTGTAGATCTCAGGAGAGAGAGAGGACGAAGAGAGAGAGAGAGAGAGAGAGAGAGAGAGAGAGAGAGAGAGGGAGCAGGGAGCAGGGAAAGGGGCAGGGCCTGCACTTCTCCTGCCCCAAACAGCTGCCTGCTCTCCCCCTTGTGCTCCGAGTGACCCGTGGGGGGGTCTGGAGCTCTGACAGGGGGAGTGACAGAGGAGAGAGAGAGAGGGGGAGTGACAGAGGGGAGAGAGAAAGAGAAGGAGAGAGCCACATGACAGCAGCAACAGCAGCAGAGGAGAGGAGTTTAGTCCCACAGAAAACAACCAACAACAACAGAGGAGTCATGGAAGTGTGAGCAGCTCCACGCAGGACACACTGTGAGTACAAGCTGCTCTAGAGTCCAGAAGAACCTCCAAGAGTCAATCCAGCCTCACTCTGGCCTTTGTTTGACTTGACTTTACTTGAGTTGTTTGGTAGGAACTTGGGAGCAGAGTTGTGTAGTAAATGATGTACATTTCTTCACACAGTGCAGTTGTTTCATGTAATTACTGCTACATGACATGAGGAGCTAACGGTTTGCAGGCCTACTGTGTGAAATGGGTTCTTCACAGCTTTGAAGCGTGTTATAGTTGTTCCTCTCATCATTTCTTCACCCAGAGTGGAGAGATCCAAGCCCCGTCTTCACCTCCACCATCACACTCCCACTGATCTTTTCTAGTCTTTTCTGTGCACACTCTAAAGCACATTGTTCCCATTTAGAGTCATGATGTGTACAGTTTAAATGTGCACTGTGTAACTTTTCTGATGGACAGTTAGCAACCTGTTTGTCTCCATGGAGATGTTATTGCTTGCTTGGAAAGTTCCAAAGTATGGCATTAAACCCATTTATGTTCCCTTTATTATGGGCATCTTTAAGAAATTAACTAAAAACATGCATTCATACTGTGAGCTAGGTCACCTCTCCACAGATCTGACCCGTAACTTAATGCCATACTTTGGAATTTTCTTGATAAATTAACACCTCCATAAGTAATCTCTTCCAGAAAAGTTACATAGAGTACCTTTAATTACGACTTAGTGCTTCTCACATAAAGACTCTTTGTTTAAAGCAGTTTTTTTTCTTTTCTTTCAGTGTCTGGATGATCAATATTCACAATAACTCGTGAAGACGTTTCCAGAAGACCAGACCATGAGGCTCTGAGGGACTACAGCTCCATTGGATCTACTGGAGTTTTGATTTAGATTTTTTGATTTAGATTTTTTTGTTTATTTTGATTTTTTTTTTTTTTTTTTTTTGGGGAATTTGGAGTGGAAAATGGGGTGTGTCCATAGCAACGTGCGGATGCAAAAGCTGAAGGAGGTTGGAGGAAGTCCCATCAAAACCAAGTCTGAGGTCCACCCTGAGATTGTGGAGCTCACAGAGGTACAGAGACACACAGGGACTAAACCAGGACAAGACCAGGACTAGACCAGGACTAAACCAGGACTAAACCAGGACTAAACCAGGACTAATGTGACCATAAATCTTGACGGAGGTGAGAGACACAGAGGGTTGAGTGAGCCTGACTTGACTGAACCAGAGACACTAGACACTGGACACTAGACCAAGACACTAGGGACATGAAAACATCACAACCCAGTGGCATTTGACCCATGTCACTGGGGCAACTTTTCAGGAGCAGAGAAAGCCACAGTGCAACACCCGGGGCCCCATGTCCAGACCCTGAGCTGGTGTTGGTCAGAAGGAACTTAATGAAGTTGGTTGTGCATGTTTGGTCACTGTGTGTGTGTGTGTGTGTGTGTGTGTGTGTGTGTGTGTGTGTGTGTGTGTGTGTGTGTGTGTGTGTGTGTGTGTGTGTGTGTGTGTGTGTGTGTGTGTGTGTGTGTGTGGAAAAGGACAACTTCTAAACCATTCTGAAATCATTCTGAAACATTCAAACACGTTTATGAGAGTTGTTGTTTTACACACAGACTCTATGAGCGCGTACGCCAATACAAACACACTATTGCACAATGATAAAACACACACAGGACACAGTGTCTAATGCTGTGTCCCCTCTGTCCTCTCTGTCCTCTCTGTCCTCTCTGTCCTCTCTGTCCTCTCTGTCCTCTCCCCTCTGTCCTCTCTGTCCTCTCTGTCCTCTCTGTCCCCACTGTTCCTCTGTCCTCTCTGGTCCTCTCTCCCCTCACACATTCAACTCTACAATAAATCATGAACCAAAAGAATGTGAAGAATCATATTTACATCATATCATCTACGCAGCCTCTGTCTCTCTCTGTCCCTCTCTCTCTCTCTCTCTCTCTCTCTGTCTCTGTGTGTGTGTGTCTTTAAAGTCGGTGTTAGAAATGGGACAGTGACACGACGCACATACCACAGGCTCACATGTGGTTTACAGCTCCACACACGGACACTGCAGATCACAGAAAAGAGAGACGGAGGGAGGGAGAGAGAGAGAGGGAGGAGAAAGGGAGAGGGAGAGAAGAGAGAAAGAGAGGGAAAGAGGGGAGAGGGAGAGAAGAGAGAGACGGAAAGAGCGGAGAGAGAGGGAGGAAAGAGGAGAGTGAGGAGAGAGAGGAGAGAGAGATCAGATCTAACCCATTGGACAGGTCTGTATCCTGCGCTGTTATAAACATGTAAGTGTCTCAGTCTCAGTTTCTGGACAGACCAGGCCTCATGTGAAACTCAGAACCACCAGAATTCCTCCTTGAGCTGCAGAGGCTGCACTAGCACTGACTCAGGACTGGTGCGGGTGCTGGGGTTTAGGGAGAGACTGTTCAGATCAGAGAGAGGACACTGGATTTCAGCATTGAAAATGGAAACTCATTCTGCTTTCTGACTGGACAGCCGTCTTGAACCAAAACACCAAATAATAGTCTCTCTTCACACTTCTGTCACAAACCAGGAAGATGTTTGGAAACATCTAGAATTTAGTCCCTCATCTCTTCTAATCACATGTACCAGTGCACTCAGAGTTGTGTGTCAGTGGGGAAATGATGAAATGATGGTTGGAATTGTTGATTAGAACAGAACAGAATACTACAATGACATGGAGATGAAGAAAACTGGGACAATTCAATGTTTTCCTACATTTTGTCAGATTTATTACTACAGAACCCGCTGGAAGTTTTCATCGCATGTTTCCAAACGTCTTCCTGGTTTGTGATGTAAATGTGAAGAGAGATTATCAGTGTTACAGCAGATGTCAGTAAACTCTATATTTAATATGAACACTACCTCGTATCTCAGGGATCCTCAGGACAAACTCACATGTGACATGCTCCTCAGGCTGAGTGTGTGTACAGCTGCAGGTGGTGCTGGAGAGATCTGGATGTGTGTGTGTTGTGTGTTGCATATTTGTGTGTTGTGTGTGAGATATTTGGTCATGAATGTTGTGTATTGGATATTTGTGTGTTGTTTATTGGATATTTGTGTGTGAGATATTTGGTCTTGTGTGCTGTGTGAGATAGTTGTGTGTTGTGTGTATTTTGGGATGTAATTCCGTCCCGGCTCCAGAGGATGATCCCGGGCCCCTGTGATCCCCCAGAGTCCAGAGGAAGTGGTGTGAGTTACTCTCCCATGTCAGGAGAGCAGGCCTGTGTGTGTGTGTGTGTGTGTGTGTGTGTGTGTGTGTGTGTGTGTGTGTGTGTGTGTGTGTGTGTGTGTGTGTGTGTGTGTGTGTGTGTGTGTGTGTGTGTGTGTGTGTGTAAAAGGAGAGAGGGAGGAAAGAGGGAGGAGAGAGGAAGCGAGGATACAGTAGAGACTGAGAGAGGAGAGAGAGAAAGGGTCATTTTCTCTTTGTACGAGTGGGAAATGTTTTGTGATTTATTGTGTGTTGTGATATGTTTGAGCTTTAGAGGCTTTGCTTTTCATGTATGTCTATTCTATGGCAAAATTACAGCATTTACCATGCAGATGCAATGCACACATTAGCAAACACTGTCTAAAAAATAAAAACTCCCCAAAAAAATACAGAATGGGGTTAAAGAGCACATTTTCAGAGAAGGTGGCAGTGACTAACTGTTGTGGCCAGTGTTTGACACGGACGTGTTTAAAAAGCACAAACCACAAATCTGTCAAGTGTTGTAGTTCAGATATGTGAAGAACCACTCACTCTCTTGCCCAAGGACACGACGATTGTATTTATCTGTGGGGGCTGGAATTGCACTGCCAACCTGTGTGTAAAGGCATCTTAAACAACCAATGATGTTTATGTTGAGAGCGAGATTTGAACTTCTAAGCTACAAACTGAGCTTCTGTTGTCCTGATGAAGACGTCGTGGTGCTTCTGACCAAAACATCTGGAGCACGTTGGCACACACAGGAGAAGAGTCACTTTAAACTAGTGTAGGGATGATTTTCTGACACAGAGAAATGTAAAGTGTATGAACTGGACTTAAAGTGTGCATATTGTGTAGTTTTGTGCGCTCCGCCCAGTCCTCAGAGACCTGTGATCATGGTCTGAACTGAACCCACTCTCAAACACCACATACGCACACAATCACATGAGCACGTGTGGGGGGAACAGAATCTCAGTTTAAGAAAGAGAAAAGAAAAAATGTACTGAAAGAAGTTGGTTACAATGTACAGTCGTAGCAGTGGCAGACGTCGTACTGTGGTTTGAGAGGCTGGGGTCATGTGATATCAGCACACTGTAGACTCCCTGCAGTTTCACCTGAGCCTCAGGTGGAGTTTGTGTTAGATTGTATGTATCAGCTCGTTTATGGTTCATATCTGTGTATTACTGGGTCTATCCACTTGAAACTAAACTCAACTAAAGTGATTTTTTTTTTTTTTTTTTCACAATCGCTTCACAAAGTGCACCACTTTATTCAACCTCAAAGACATGAGTGTTTCAGGTGAGAGGACTTTAAGACATAAGACAAATATGACAAGTTTATGGAGCTGATCTCAAAGAAATAATGAGAAGAAGAAACATTTGTGGATCAGAAGTTTGGAGATTTCTTTCAAAACCAGTGAATGTCCCAGAGTTTTATAGACCTGTGCAGAACACATGAAACTATGAACATCATGAAATTGTAGGCTGTGAATCAAACATATTGGCTGACAAAACATGATATGATGATGCTTTTTTAATAAAATTTGAAGAAGGTTAAAGGTTGAAAGAGTTCTTTTAAAATGTGCTGTACTTTGTCGTTCAGAAAGTGACTCTGATGATCAGATCTCTGTTGTGCTGTAAACACTAGCACTGTCAAAAGTATCGAAAATCAGACACTAATCAATACTAAAACTAGTATTGAAACTAGATACTCATTTGAACAAGTATCAATACTAAAAAAGTCCCATTGACAGGACATGACGTTTTTCTGAATGTCTTTAGAATGATGTTGAGTTGGATCAGAACAAGTGTCAGAGCACATAGACTAGTATACACACATGGACCAACATGAACCTATTGCACCACTGACCATTACACACATATAACACACATGGAATAGAAAAGAAAGTTCTACCATTTAATGTGGAAAATCACAGTATATTGTCTGTTGTTGTTGTTGTTGTTTTTTTTTAAATCACCGTGGTATCGGAATCAGTGTTGAGCATGGAGTCTGACAGTTGAATATTGAATTGGACAGTTTAGTATTGTGTAAGTCCTACTGTGTTGTAGTTGAAATCCCACGTTAGTTGTGGGTTCAGTCCTCAGTGGCAGCTCTCGTGTGTTCAGAGAATGTGGTGAAAGCTCTGAAGTGCTGACAGAATTCTCTGGTGCAGTTATAAATAGCTCCAGACGAGGCCCACCTGCCACTGTCCCGTTACCCCACCCCCCCTCACTGTTCCGGGACACTCTGCCTGCCCTGAGCCTCTGTCCCTGGACGTCTGCGGAGGGGAGCCCTCAGTCTTTGTACTGATCTGTCTACACTGTAAAAACATACAAGGTAAAAAGACTTGTTTGGAATAATGTTTTTAATTTATTAGTAGTATTCACAGTTATGTGGCTCTTTCCCACCTTTAATGCTGTGTTGTGGAAAAAAAAATGTATCTCTTAATAATAAATAATGAATCCATTTGCAAAGCCCGATGAGTTTTTGGAATACAGACAAAGGTTTATTCTTCTTGTTACCTCAGATATGGTCAGGACCTAGTCCTGCCCCGCCACAGACCAATAGCCTCTCCAGAGTCTCCTCTCTCCAGTCACTCGTCCAACTCACTTCTCTCCCAGAGCATCTGACTCTGAGAAGCTCTCTACAGAAACACACAGCATGTTGTACATACATATCAAGCAGAGTGACAGACTTAAACAGTGACAGATTTAAATACTTAACTTACATTTGAGGAAAGCTAAGACAACACACAGTTGTGTCTGCGGAGCCTTTTCACATGTTACTGACTGGTCTGGTCTCAGGTACAGATCACCCTCATTTACACAAAGACAGATTGAGAGAAATCTTTCCACAATATACATTTTCATCACACATTCTCCCTTTTGATTATACATTAATCATACTTCACAAACAGTCATTGTCACAAACAGAACATACAGAGAAACGTGGATCTAAACACAGTCCATGGAGTACAAAATTAGTTTGTTTAATTCAAAAGATGGAGGCAAATTCCACAGTTCACGTTTAAGGAGGATTGTTGTTTTCAGTTTGTCCATTTCCAATATGATTTGTAGTCACAAGTTGAATGTAATTTGATGGTGGCGCTGTTTCCATCACCTGTCCTCTGTCCCCTTGTCCTGCCTCTGTCCATGCATGGCTGTAGTCTCCCCTTGCAGCTTGGCCCCTCTCTGAGCCTCAGCTCATCTCTAAAGTCATTCAAACTCAATAGGGAAAAACACAAAACAAATACAAACAAAAAAGAAAAAACATAAAGAAACAAGGAACTCTAAAAATGAGTGGCTCCGTTAACTTCATCCTATCATATTTCTTGCTGACACTGCTGACAACAGGCTCAAATGTTAAACACTGAGTTTCTGACAATGCACAATTTACAACACACAGTTTGACTGATCAGGTCCCAAGGACACACAAACATACAGCTGACTTCTCTTGTCACACTCTGTACTTCAGCTCAATTTTCTGCATGTTGAATCAGAAAAACATTCTCCTTTTTTCTTTTTTTTTACTTCAAGGGTTTTTGTTTTTTGTCTTGTTTTTTCTTTTTTCATCTTTTATTTTTTCATTTGTTAATTTTGAAATGTCTTCTTTTACATCTTGCCACAGTTCAGAACAGATGTAAATTTCGTAAATTTATTCATACATTTTACATTTACAAAACATAATACAGTATCTCCATTCTTAAAGCTGGAAGAGATGTACCGCTACCTTGAATTTCCTCTCCCTCATGAGAAAGTCTTTACACTCAACTACACAGAGAATTTCACCCTTTTGACTTTTCTAGTCAGTAACCCTAGATAGGAGTTTCACCTAATGACTGTTCGCTAAACAGCAGGGACTTTCACCCGTTTGATCGTTCACTGGCTTGTTACAGCTAGAGGGAAATTTCACCCAGTGACAATAAGTCCCAGTGCTAGATAATACGCAAAGCGAAGTGTAAAACTAAATCCATGTTCACCTTTACACAGTGTTTCTAGTTATCATGTTAAAACTCAGGGACAAGTAAATTAGAAGAAAAAAATACAGACAGGGTGTGGACATTTGTGTCTGTGGAGCCTTTACACATGTTACTGATGCTCTGGTCTCAGGTACAAATCACATTCATTTACACAAACACACACTGAGAGAAATCTTCCCACAACATCAATTTCCATCACTGCTAACCACTCTGCCACTGTACTGTGTACATGAGGCCCGTGATCAGAGGAAACACACACTAAACATACTCACCGTGTGTACGCGTGTGTGTGTGTGTTTACACTCTACAAGGGCAAGTTATTTACATTAGCTCCACATATCAGCTCTTATACATGGCATCCTGCTTTTATTTATACTCACACTCCCCCAGAGAAATATATCTGCTCCAAGAACATCCTTGAGACAAGAGAGCAGAGGAGCAGAGGAGAGGGTCAGAGGAGAGGAACAGAGTAGAGAGCAGAGGAACAGAGGAGCAGAGGAGTCAGAGGAGAGGGTCAGAGGAGAGGAGCAGAGGAGATCAGAGGAGAGGAGCAGAGGAGAGGGTCAGAGAGAGAGCAGAGGAGGGTCAGAGGAGAGGAGCAGAGGAGAAGGTCAGAGGAGAGGGTCAGAGTAGAGGAGCAGAGGAGAGGAACAGAGCAGAGGGTCAGAGGAGAAGAGAGAAGCGGAGGAGAAGGTCAGAGGAGAGGAGCAGAGGGTCAGAGAAGAGGAGCAGAAGAGAGGAGCAGTGGAGAAGGTCAGAGGAGAGGAACAGAGGAGAGGGTCAGAGGAGAGGAGCAGAGGAGAGGAGCAGAGGAGAGGTCAGAGGAGAGGAGCAGAGAGGAGAGGGAGCAGAGGAGAGAGGAGCAGAGAGAGAGGAGCGGTGGAGAAGGTCAGAGTAGAGGAACAGAGCAGAGGGTCAGAGGAGAGGAGCAGAGGAGAGGGAGGTCAGAGGAGAGGAGCAGAGGAGAGAAGCGGAGGAGAAGGTCAGAGGAGAGGAGCAGAGGAGAGCAGAGGAGAGGGGCAGAGGAGAGGGGCAGAGGAGAGGGTCAGAGGAGAGGAGCAGAAGAGAGGAGCGGTGGAGAAGGTCAGAGTAGAGGAACAGAGCAGAGGGTCAGAGGAGAGGAGCGGAGGAGAAGGTCAGAGGAGCAGAGGATGCACTTTTATTAACTTCTTTCACCTCTTCTGCTAAAGTGTCCCCTATGTTTATGAAGTCATTACTCCACTTCCTCTCCCTCCCACTCTCTTTGCCCCCCTTCTTTCTCTTTTCTCTCTGTCTCTCCCTCCCCGTCTCCCTCACTCCTCCCTCATTCTCCCTGCCCCCGTCTCTCACTCTGCTTTTCTCTCCTCATTTTCTGACCCTCTTCTTCCTTTCTCTCTTCTCTCCCCTGTCTCTTCTCCCTCCTCTCATCCTCTCTCTGACCATTCTCTCTCCCCCCTCTCTCTCTCTTTCTCTCCCTCTCCTCTCTCTCCTTTTCCTTCTCCCCCTCTTTCTCCTTCTCTCGGGGCTGTGTGCTGATGGTCAGATTTTTGCACCATGACACAGTCTCTGGCTCTAACACTTCACTCGGGTGGAGTCCTGTTTCGATTTTAGTTTTGGACAGAGATTATTGTCTAACCTTTCTTTTCTGTCAGATGCCCTCCCTGTCTGTGGCTTTTCAGATGATCAAATTTAATGGATGTTGCCCTGTTAAGACATAAGTCATATAAACAGAAAACTGAAATCCATCAATATCCCTGTGTGGCAGATGCCCTCCCATCCTCTTAAATCACAAAAGCTGTTCTGTGTGCATGAGTGAGCTCATCAGTGACACACACACTAAACCCTGACATGGTTTTATTCCTGAATCAAAGAATTCTTATTGACACTTGATATTTACTTCATCACTTTTCTTGCTGATATTAAACTAATCTCAGTGTTTGTCTTTCATAGTTGGCATCGTCGGGGAAACACAGCTTCACTGAGAAAAGCTTCAGGAGACAAATGTGTGACGTGTGCAAAAAGAACATCACCAGGAGCGGGAACATATGCACAGGTCAGATACTTTTGGTTTGAAAAAGTACACATTTGTACCACTGATTTAGATACAGAGACTTGTTGTATTGTATTACGACACATCATGCAGGTCAGAGATATAGAACGGTAGATGTCGTGTTCAGCCTCTTGGCGCGAGTTAATACCACCACCATCTTGGTACGAGGGTTCCATGGTCTAAGTCACTGACAGCTCTTTTTCACAGTATCAGCGAGTGGAGATGAGAGACTTTTGCACTGATTTTCTACAGTTTAATTTCACGTATTGTCTCTTGTGTTTTACAAGTTTAGACGGCAGCATGTGGCTAAAGTGCAAACTCTAAAACACAGCAGTTTGAGGAAGAAGCTGTGAGAGAGTGTTGTTACAAGGATATTAACACCCGACACACATACCCCATACTCAACTCAACAACACGAAAGAAAACCAAGACATTAAACCTGTCAGAAAACTCACTATCACAACAAATAGACATATTAGTTTTCATTGGACAGCGACGATGTATTTTATAATTTTATAGTTAGTTAGTTAGTTTTTTTTTCAAACTTATACAGCAGGTTGTAGGTGTAGTCCAATGAGGTTAATTTTAGTCTTCTGGTAAATTATGTTATTAGGTTCTTTTTTCAGACCAAGAGTTTGTTTTCATACCTGACAGTTTTGACTGCTCACTAGCGCTCTTCCTCAGAGTCTCGTGATGTTGCTGTTGCTCAGCTGATCTGATTTAAACAGGGTTTGGCGCTGTCTTCCTGCTGATGGAGGCATGATGACAGCACCATCTGCAGTCCCACTTCCTCAGGACAGTATCCCAGTTGTGTGAGAGTAAAAAAGCCCCTCGTCCCGGTTTATCATCCCGTGTGCACGTTTCTGTATTTTAATTGCCTCTTTAACCCAGCGACGGTGTTTGTTTTCCTCTGTCCCAATGATGTTTGCTCCCAGTCCATAATATGGTTCTCTCTTTTACAGTGGTCAGAGATCTTTGACCAATGTAAAAGAGAGAACCTGTTTAAATCAGCTGACCGGACACGTCACAGCAACATCACGTGACCACCAAGAACGAAACTGTCAGGTATTAAAACAAACTCTTGGTCTGAAAAAAGAACCTAATAACATTGTTGTACAAACAAAGGTGTGTGACAGGTGTAGGTGTGTGACAGGTGTAGGTGTGTGACAGGTGTGTGTGTGACAGGTGTAGGTGTGTGACAGGTGTAGGTGTGACAGGTGTAGGTGTGTGACAGGTGTGTGTGACAGGTGTAGGTGTGTGACAGGTGTAGGTGTGTTACAGGTGTGTGTGACAGGTGTAGATGTGTGACAGGTGTAGGTGTGTGACAGGTGTGTGACAGGTGTAGGTGTCAGGTGTAGACAGGTAGGTGTGAGGCAGGTGTGTGACAGGTGTAGGTGTGTGACAGGTGTAGGTGTGTGACAGGTGTAGGTGTGTGACAGGTGTGTGTGTGTGTAGTGTATGTGTGACAGGTGTGCAGGTGTCAGGTGTACACAGGTGTAGTGTGTGACAGGTGTAGGTGTGACAGGTGTGTGTGACAGGTGTACAGGTGTAGGTGTGACAGGTGTAGGTGTAGACAGGTGTAGAGGTGTGCAGGTGTGTGTGACAGGTGTGTGTACAGGTAGGTGTGTGTGTGACAGGTGTGACAGGTGTAGGTGTGTGACAGGTGTGTGACAGGTGTAGGTGTGTGACAGGTGTAGGTGTGTGACAGGTGTAGACAGGTGTAGGCAGGTGTGCAGGTGTAGACAGGTGTAGGTGTGTGACAGGTGTGTGTGACAGGTGTAGGTGTGTGACAGGTGTAGAGGTGTGACAGGTGTAGACAGGTGTAGGCAGGTGTATGACAGGTGTAGACAGGTGCAGGCAGGTGTACAGGTGTAGGTGTGACAGGTGTGTGTGACAGGTGTGTGACAGGCAGGTGTAGCACAGGTGTAGGTGTGACAGGTTGTGGTGTACAGGTGTGACAGGTGTACAGGTGTACAGGTGTACAGGTGTGTGACAGGTGTAGGTGTGTGACAGGTGTAGGCATGTGACAGGAAACACACAGCTTGTGTAGAGATTGTGTCGTTATTTCATTGTTTTTTTTCTTTTCTCAAACTTCTCAAGCAGCTTCTGTGCTCACTCCTGTAATCACATCATCTTTAGATCTTACACAAGCAAATGGTCGGTTTCATGGAAATGGAGTTTGTGTTTATTTCAAATAGAAAAATGCCATGATTATGTCCATTACAGTTTGAACGTAAAAGTCGGCGATGTTAACAAAAACCTTGGTTGTAAATACACGTCTGACATTTGTAAACGAACTAAAAAAATAAAACTTGTTGATTTAACGTAGTCTACTTTAATTCTGTAAATCTCCTTGTCCCCGATTGATGTTCATTCATTTAATGCAGCAATACCCTGGACCAAGATGGCGGCTTTGTTGACTCATTCAACAGCGGTCGTCAATGTGAGGTCTACCGTTCTATATCTGTGCGGGGCAGTGATGTCTCGAGGCTCACGCTCACTCTCCCATTGAAACTGCACTGGAGTTAATGTAACAGCATGTCTTAGCCGCCTGTTTTTGGGTTGCAGCCTCCTGCTATATGTGACATTTAAGACCTTTTCTTTCATTCAAAAGATATTAAAAATTAAAATCCATTTTTCATTTTCCCTCCTCAGATTGTAAACTGGCAGTGCACAAGTCATGTCAGTCCAAGGTAAGCCCCTCCTCCTCTGTTTGACTGTGAGAAAAGTGTGTCAGTGAGTCAGATGCGGAGCGGTCGCACTCACTGCAGTAGTAGTAGTAGTAGTAGTAGAAGTAGCAGTGGTAGAAGCAGTATTGCAGTAATCCATGCGTACTGACCTACATGTGTTCCAGATCTGAGCCACGTCCCTAGGCACGATTTACTCTACCGGATTTGTAACGCCTGATTTGAAATGAATAAAGAGAAGTAGAAATGTAAACGTTTAGTGGCAGTAAAAATTAGCGCTAAGAAAGAACTACAAAGAACTACAAATGACCCACACATATGAATAGAAGAAGAGATCTGATATGATTCCACACGACGTGAATTGTAGAGCATTGTTGCAGAGTGGTTTGCTCTCTTGACCCGCATCAAGAAGGCCGTGTGGGTGTTCTGCATGTATGTCTATGGCTAAATGTTCAGCAGTTACCATGGTGACACAATGCACACATTTGCAAATGCCGCCTCATGAGTTTTAGACTGGAGCCTGTTATCAGTACGAGCGTTCATGGTCGTGTTTAGGAGCTCAGAATAAAGTCTAACTTGAGTAAGCTTCAGACCAAGCAGTGCCTCCAGTTAGCTTCAAACCGACAGGGAATGTTCATTCAGCTGTCTGGGTATCAATACTCACATTTAGTATGAGACTAAACTAGTGTGACCAGATATTCAAAATCAAACACTGGGACTCTCTGGGTTTGTGGTGGTTGGTGATGATAAAATTGTGAAACGAGTGTAATGAAGGAGTGTTCTGCAGAGAACATTCATGACTAACCTGTGTTAGTCTTTGTGTTTTGGTCGTTTTGAAGCAGATTTTCTGTATTTTACTGAAATAAATGACAATGTATGTCTGTTTTTACTGTTGGCAGGATCAAATTGGTCAAAAATAGGGACACCTGGGACATTTCTTGTATAAAACTTTGACAAATCATTGGTTTTGTATAAATCTGCTGGGACAGAGGACACAGGGACTGACCCGGGGAAACAGGGATGTGTGGTCACTCTACACTAAAACTAGAAACCAGATACTCTTTTAGGCAGGAATTAAGACAAAATGACAAAATCATTGAACAATATTTTGTGTTGAAAAATGTAGAAACCAGAATAGCTGGTCACACACAGGAGCCACGCAGTCTGGGAATCAAACCCGGGACCTTCTTACTGTGAGGTAGAAGTGCGAACTGCTAAACCAGCCACTTCCACCTGCTGTCGTGAGTGTTGTGGAGCTTTCGTACAGCGGCACCGTGTCTCCTCACTGTACGTCTGCGTTAAAGCAGCTCTGTGTACAGTGACCTTTGACCTTTGACCTGACTGTGACCCCACGTTTCATCAGCACACTTTGAACTTTGAACTCGAGCGGCCCACTTCCTGTTTCCTCATTAGCGGGACTTATATTTACTCACAAGTGTCCCCCAGCAACTGTTCAAAGGAACTATTTTTATTTCAGCCGCCTCTCGTCACTGTCCACAAACAGACAGGAGCACAGGCGCCTCACGCTACACAGATATCTGCACACACACACACACATGCTCACGCTCAGGCTGTCACGCCACACACACTCCACACTCCATTTCAATACCAACGAATAGACTCAATACTGATCCTGACACCACCATGATGAAAGAAACTCTTTCTTTAGACAACAGCCTGTTCAATGGTAGAATGTTCTTGTGTGTATGTGTGTACGTGTGTATGTGTGTACGTGTGTATGTGTGTACGTGTGTGTGTGTACGTGTGTATGTGTGTACGTGTGTACGTGTGTATGTGTGTGTGTGTATGTGTGTATGTGTGTATGTGTGTAATGGTCAGTGGTGCAGTAGGTTCATGTTGGTCCATTTGTGTATACTAGTCTACAGTGTTGGGAAGGTTACTTTTAAAATGTATTCCCCAACAGATTACAGATTACATACCTCAACGTAATCCATTAAATTACTTAAAGTGAGTAACGTAATCTGAATACTTTGGATTACTTGATATCGTCATGCTTTTTAAAACTACATGAAAGTAGCAACAACATCCTGAAAATTCTTGTTTATTGTCTTCAAATTCCCTCTTGAGTCCAAGTCTCCATGAACAGACTTTAGTTTGCTGAAGAGAAGCAAAGACAAGGATCTTAACATGAGATATTTTGTCTGCTTCAAGACAAAAAAACTCAAGTCTTTCCTTAAACGTATTAAAATGATTATTGATAGAGAAAAGTTTTTTTTTTATATGACATCACTGCTGCTTTAAATTATGTCCACCTACTGTTAGTGTCATATTGTTTAGGCCTGGTTTAGACCTGGTTTTAGTCCTAGTTTAGTGCTGTTTAATCCTGCTTTTAGACATGGTTTAGTCCTGGTTTTAGTCCTGGTTTACTCCTAGTTTAATGCTGTTTAGTCCTGCTTTTATACCTGGTTTTAGTCCTGGTTGAGCCTAAAATGTGAAAACAGGAACATACCACCATGTAATCCATTTATTTCAACAAAGTAACTGTAATCCAATTACCACTCTTTGAAACAGTAACAGTAACTGAATACAGTTACTCATAATTTGTACTCTGATTACATAATGCCGGTACATGTAATCTGTTACTCCCCAACATTACTAGTCTATGTGCTCTGACACTTGTTCTGATCCAACTCAACATCATTCTAAAGACATTCAGGAAAACGTCTGCTCTGTCCTGTCAATGACACTTTTTTAGTATCAGTGTCTGTGAGGAATGAAAATCTCGTTTTGACACTAGTTTGTCTGATTTTCCATACTTGTGACAACCCTACTGTATTTTTATTATATTATTAAAGGGGCCCTATGGAACTTTTCAGGTGGACAGAATGAAACTCAGGGTTAGACATTCACAAGTGATTTCACTTCAGCCTCAGCCCCTTTGGGCCGAGTTTTATATGAAATGTTTGTAACAATCTATTAAGTACATGATTAAGAACATGACTGAAGAAAAGAAACTACTACTACTTCTACTACTACTACTACTACTACCTTCTTCTCTCCATCTAGATATTGTTGTTTTGTCTAAAAATATTCCACAAAATAACATCTCCATAGAAACAAGCAGGTGACTACACTAGACCAAGTATTTTTAGCTTAAGTCTAATGCCATACTGTGGAACATTCCAGGCAAAGCAGTAATATTTTCATGAGACAAGCAGGTGAAAGACACTATCTGAATCTGCATTCCTATTGTACTATCCAAAATAATCTACAACGATATCATTGTTCCAGAAGTACTTTCCCTTGCACTGGGCTCAGTTTGATATTATTGTGGTTCAGTTCTCGCTTCAACCTGTGCATTGTTGTTGTGTCCTTAGGCAAGTCACAGGGCAGGACAGCTGTGGCCATCCATGGGTTTCAGAATGATGAAAAATTAGGAGTGTTGCCATAGTGATTAACAATTTACAAAGTATGACAACTTTTGAATGGTGAAAAATCCTCAAAATCTAACAACTACTCACCAGCACCGAGTGAACTTAAAGCAACTCTTAAGGCTGGACTAGACCTGGTTTGGACCTGGTTTAGTCCTGGTTTAGTCCTGGTTCACAACTGGTTTGGACCTGGTTTAGTCCTGGTTTAGTCCTGGTTTATTCCCCACAGACCAGGGCTGGACTTGAGATGAGCTGAAGGTTATTTTTAGTGAATTGGTTTCATGCCATGGATTCCTGTGTCTCTGTGATCAGCGTGGGATGGAGAGATAGAGACCGGACAGCTGTGTGAGAGAGAGAGAGAGAGAGAGAGAGAGAGAGAGTGAAAGAGGGAAAGAAGGTTAGTAGCAAGGGAGAGAGAGAGAGTTGGGTGAGGGAAGGGAAGTGTAGCCAGGAGTAAAGAAGGAGGAAGAGAGGTGGAGAGAAGGGGGACAGAAAGTGTGAGGGAGACAGAGAGGGTGATGGGGTGGCAGAGAGAGGAGAGGGTGAGAAGAGAGGGAGAGAGAGAGAAAGAGGGGGGGGTACACATAAATAAACCCAAAACACAAATACAACAGAGGCTTAACAAGGCTCAGGCACGTCTGCTGGTCTCACGCACACAGAGACAGACAGAGAGACAGAGAGAGAGAGACAGAGAGAGCAATAGAGAGAGGGAGGGAGAGAAAGACTGAGACACACATAGAGGCACAGAGAGAGAGAGAGAGACAGAGAGAGAGAGAGACAGAAAGTGAGACACACACAGAGAGAGACACAGAGAGAGACAGAGAGACACACACACAGAGACACACAGAAAGAGAAATGGCAGAGTTCAAATCGAGCTTTGATATTTCTAGAGTCACAGAGGGCCGTTTAATGAAAGGAACTGTGTGTGATTCTGATTGTAAATTTCTTAAACATATCAAACCTGTGTCCCCAGATACAAGTGAAACATGTTCTAATCGAATACAACTAAGAACAATAATACTGTTGATTTATTCTTAATTACAGAATCATGGACATGATGGACATGTTGTTTTTGTTTTAATATCTCACATATATCTTTATATAAAGATCCAATATCCAATCAGAAAGCAGAATGAGCCTCACATGACTCTCTCATTTGTGTTGCCAGGTTCAAAGTTTAAATCCAGTGTGTTTAAAGCTTAAAGTTCTCTCTCTGATCTGAACGGTCACTCCCTAAAGCCCAGCACCTGCAGCATCATGAGTCAGTGCTAGTGCAGCCTCTGCAGCTCAGGGAGGGAATTCTAGAGCTTCTGAGCTTCACATGAGACCTGGTCTGTCCATAAACTGAGAATGAGACAAACATGGGCGTGTCTGTGTCTGCAGGTGAAGACTCTGGAGACACAGGCTCATACAGGCCACACGAAGCTCCTTTAAAGCTCCTGCACAGTAAAGACGTTTGATCTGCTCTGAGCCTTTCACTTTTTCATCATAAAATAATGTAGTGTATCAGGACTGCAAGATGAATCACAATCAACTTAAACTGAACCAACACAATTATCAAATCAGAAGTCCTTCATTTTCTCCACAAACAACATCTCCTGTCTTATTCTGCAT